AGCCTTGTAGTGAATTAGCTTTTCCAAATATTTCCATCTACAATTGCAAATATTAGCACCGTAGCATATGGGTAGACAGTACCCTCATGTGCGTAGGATCAAGGAATTTGTAGGTGAAACCCATCTCATTGCAGCCATTATAACACTCCTGTTCTTTCGGAATATAACAGCCTTTCGTAACTCCGCACTCAGTCAAATCGAAAGGAGCCTGGAATAGTCCAAGTAGTAATGGTATTTTTAAAACATGAAGTAGAAATCATTATATCAATGTGAGACACATCAAAGATTGTTTGCCTTTTTGGGTGCACCAATAGGATAGTTAGACTAGACATGTACCGAAACTATCTTGGTGATTAGTAGAATAGAATAGAAAAGAAGTTAACAGTTCACTTACACTTAAAACAGAGAAGACCAAAACTGTGAATATAATAAATTGCTTAAGCATAGCTGACACCTTTCTGGTTCAAAACTGAAATATATTTCATTTGATTATGAGTCTTTTATTTGAGTCTTAAACGTTATAGAAGAAATGAGCAAGACCTTGTCTGCTATTAGTAATACTGAGCAAACGCCCTTCTTACAAGGTGTTATCACGATTGGCTAACAAATTGTAAAAAAATACTTTCAAACCTCTTTCTAATTTCAATAGAGGAAGTTATGGTGACAAGTCTCTCTACCTTTTAAATACCGCAAGGAGCCTATAAATCCGTTCGTCCAAACAATTTGCCTGACAAGTGCTCCGCCATTTTAGATGATAAATTCTCTTATATTGTCCAGCTTATGGATGCCACACCTTTTTCTATGTTATCAGCAGATATGTATAGAAGAACATGGTTCAAATTAGATATGGGGAAGCTACAAACGTCTAGAAAATGATTTCATTGCTGTTCTATTACATCATTCTCGATACTTTGAAAGCAATATGAACTTACGAATAAAGCATTGAAGTCATCATGCAGAGGAATACGGAAACTCAATTTCACAATTCGAAGCTTAAGTTTGAAATAGTTTATTGTTAGTAATATAAACAAAACATATTATTTACAAACTTGAGTCATCTTATAACTCGAGATATTCAGTAGATCAGATACACATTTCCTCCTTAAGGAGCTGAACTTTTTCTGCGATTCTTTTCTTAGCGTCTTGTTTTGCACTTATTTTTGTTAGAACGAATTTGGATGTCTCCTTAACCAAATCATTGGTTTTTTGCATGTTTTCCTGTTGTTTCATGAAAGCCTTGAAACGGAGCATCAATGAATGTTTTATAGGATCACATACCTTCATTTGAACTTTATGGAGTTCATCCTTTAATCTTCTTACTTCTTTTACGGACTTCGAACACTCTTCGCGAATGGTCGCTATTCTGTCGACGTCCAATCCTTCAAATTCGTTCAGCTTTTGTTCCAATTCATTATTTTCTAGAATAATCTTGTTACATAAGAGTTCGAACCACAAGCTAAACCAAGCTCTAATTCCCTAAGACTATCACAGAAAGCGATTTCCTCCTTTTTCTTCTCCATTAGAGGAATCAGTTGGGCGTTCTTATCCTGTAAAACCATAGAAATACATACAAAATAAGCATAATATTACTTGGATAACTTTATGTAGACTTTCAGCCACGAGTTTACGATTTTTAAACCACTCGGCTTCCGCTAACGATATAGCTGCTTTTAAAGCGTCTCTCTCCAAAGCATTAAGCTGCAAGTAAGGATACAACACGGACTTTCAGATCACTCTCACCTTTCTGCCATTCAGATTCTTGATCGCATCCACATATGCTGGATTGATCGTTTTGAGATTTTCGAGAGTTTCTACTAACTCCTCTGAACTTCTAAATAAGATAAATTAGGTCATATTGTTATAAAGTGTATTCTACTTTTTTCTTTCATCCTGCAGAAGTTTGTTTAGTTTTTCAATATAAGAAATGCGAAAATCTGATACTGATGTATGTTCCCCAACCAATGGCTCCAAATATGTCACCTATAACTTTATGAGTTCGTGACTGTTTGCTCATACGTACTTTGAGTGTATGCGGATGATAACGGAGGTTTTGGAAATAAGATGTTAATTTTTCAGAAATGCTAGCCATTGAACTATCCTGGGAGATATCAGCCAAGCTGGCAACCTGAACAAAAGAAATGGAACTAAGTTTTCTAAGGAAACAACTTGAATAATTGACACATCTCTGGGTGCATCAAGTTGTTCCTGTAAGGTTGTGTTATTCATAGAAAGTCTTCCTCTTCTCTGGAATAACAATAAATAAAAGATTAAACAGATGTCTCAACGCTTACACTTGATATATCCATTGAGTAGCTCATGTCTGGTTGCGTTTTAGCCTGAAAGAGCCATTTAGTATATATCTTAGCGTAAACACAGTAATCACCTCCATAATAGTAGAAATATTCAGAGGACTGTCTTTCTCGACTTCGTCGCGTTCAATAGCGAGAGTCTACAAGCATACAATAGAAGTAGAACTTTTTTGTATTTATAATTACCTGATTAATAGCAGGAGTGACAATTGTTGTGTTGCATCTTGAAAACCGAGGTTCCTCCATTTGCTCACCCTTTTTTTCAACGAATGTGCTATTGTTGAAATTCTGAAAAAAATGGTCACATTCGCGATCTCCGTTGTGAGGAAACTTACGAAAACGGCAAAAGTGTCATTTTCAACATTCATATCATCTTTACTGATATCCTTAAAAAGATTAACTGTATCAGTCTCCAATTTTATTTACATACTGCTTTTGCTGTGGCTGCCTTTACACAATTCATATCGGATATGTCCATATCAACGTAGCTTGTACTAGCATTTTTATCAGATGAAGGTGAGACATTGGGAAGAGATACTAACTCATTGGTTTTTATAAGACTCTGAGGAATAAACTGGAAGATAACTCTCAAAACGAATTAGTACCGTATCATTCCCTCCTTGTACAGTTATGTCCATATCACAATCTCCGTTCTGGCCATTGAAACTCTGAAAGCCAAATAGTTGTTGCACATATGTTCTACAAACTTTGGAAGCAAAAATTTTCATTGTGTTTTCGCTCTGATTGTTTGAGTCGAATATTGCCATAGTATTTTCCTGTCCAGCATCAGACCCAAACATAGCCATTGTGTTTTCCGCAATATTCTCCATCTTCTGATCATTGAAACCGAGTTATAAACTTTCAGTTGGTTCATAATTTACTTTTGGAAACATGTGCATAGTGTTCTCTTCCATGACAGAAATATTAGATGTTGGAACCTGATGATAAATACGACATGATGTTGAAATTGCTCAAAAACATACTTCAGCAATTCTATCTTTATCTGTTTCCACTGTTTTGAAAATAAGAGCCTGAAATTTCAATCAGTAAGAAAAATTTTTTATCTCGCCACCGTATTCTCGTTCATGGTACTGTTCATTGTTTTGTCCTTCCTATTACTGAACGTTGTGTTGTTTTTACCGAACATTGCCATCTTAACAATGATAATAATAAACAAAAACGAAACCGTTCTTACTGTATTATCACAGGGTCCTCCCAGAGTTACAGATGAACTGTCCATAGACATATCAACTATATCTAATCTTGTTGAATCTAAATCAAACTTCACAGGTCTGAACTCATTCGAGTTTTCGTCCGCAAAATCTGGAAGTCAGATGTGAAAAGAAAAATGAATAAATTGAGATCACCTAGATTACGAGAGCTTTTAGAAAACATAGACATAGTGGAATCAACTTCCGTAGGAGGAGCCATGAAAAGTGCCATAGTGTTATTTACTTCTACAGATAATTTGGGAAAAAAATACTAAACATTTAAAGTTAGCCTACCTGTGGTTTCTTTATGAAAAGTTGAATCGGCAAGAGACATATCCATAACGGTATGTGTTGTGGTGGAATGACAAACTTGATATGCTAAAAAAATTTGTAACTGCTGTTGTACTAGACAAGAATCACCGGTAGGTTGATTTTCTAATCCTAACTTAGAATGACTTCTACCAGGGCTGAAATAAATTCATGAATTGTATTTAAACGTGAATTAAATGATACGTTAGTACACCGTCTGAGCCCATGGTTTCGTTTATTTTTTGTTTCACTGGAGGTCCATCAAGTAAAGACTGATCATTCACTGCGAAATTTCTAAATGAGATTGAGATACGATGAAATCTTCTCTCACATACTGTACAGTTTTCACGTTATGAAAGCTTACTCGACGTTTCATTTGGATTTTTGGTAGTTCTGCATTATCATCCAGACCTATATTAGATGGCCTAGTTTTCAATATCTGAAGGCATATACTAATAGTTCAACAGTGCTTTGAGGTTTTACCGAATCACGCCGTTTTGGTTTTTTTCCTGTGGGGAGGTTCTGGGACATTTTCTAAGAAGAAACTGTGAGTCAATGTAGATTAATTTCTTTTTTATATGAAAAAATGTACGAAAAGCTAAAATTAACTTAAATATTGAGATGATGAACAAAGGAGGTAGCGCGTATTTGAAATATAAATGATCCCGCGTATTTGTCAGCGTTGTCATTAGAGCGCGTTATGGTCTAAGCGGGCCTGGACTCTTAGTAATTCTACCCCTTATAATATAAATACATGTTTGATTGGGCTTGCGAATTATCGTTAAGCTCGTGTTTTGACTATTAAGTATTATCGTTTAGCCTTTCTTGATTTTTAAAAGTTAAGTAGACTTCGATTTGAAAATAAGAAATTGAAAACAAAGCAAGAACTTCAGTTTGCCTTTAGAAGACAGTAACCAGTTATGTCTGAGAGTATTTCTTTAGCAACCAAGTTCAAAGTGAGAGATTTACTATGGCTAAGACAACAAAAGCGTGGAATATACACCGAGAACAAGTAATTAACAAAGTTAGAATGTAAGAACATTTCAGATGAATTTAGTGATAATAGTTTTGAACTGAATTGGTATTGTTACAATAATGGATGGAAGGACTAATATTTAGTTTTGATATGAAGACAACCAATAGAATATCTGAGTAACTCTGATTAAGGAAATTAGCAGTTTCTTGAATGAATGAGATATTTACAACAGTGAGTTAGAAGCTGTTTTCCATTGATAAGCTGGTCGTTTTGTCTTGTATAAATATCCAAACCATATTGGCCATCTTCCGGAAAATCAATGTAGATTGATACCTTAAGATCATATAACTTGATGTCATTTTCTCTTAGAATACCTGATCTCCTTTAATTACAGATTTTGTACAATTCTGAAGAGATCTGTCCTCTGTTCGATTTCGATGAAGAGCGGCGACGAACTCTGTTAATGGCCGAGTCATCCTGGAAAATTGGGGAGTGTCAAGAATGATATGCACAGTACCTGAATCGTATTTCTGTGTATCGTCCGGCATTTATAATGGCATCTGTGTGAGTTATTGGAAGAAGTCCGAAAAGACGCTCAGCTTTCGCTGGTCCCCATTCGCCTGAAGCACATTCTGGCAATGGAACCATGATGACTTGTAATGATTCGCAAATTATCTGGAAAAAATATGTTGCATGCTGGAAACATTCAAAATTTTTACCTTAAATTTGCAAACACTCTTGAATTTTATTGGTTGCCCTGTTAAGTAATGTCCTGAAGAAACACTATTCGCAAAAATATCTAACAAAAGCGGACGCGTTGATGGTGCATGAACTCGGAAAGTGACAACCTTAAGGAAAAGGATGAGTTTCAGATACTGAAATACGAACTTACTCCATCGCTAACTGACTGCATAACGAATCGTTTGAGAGATAAACCATTGATGGTAGTATCATCCGAATCAAACATTTTCAAATTATAATGGAATATTAATGAATCTCCGCCTTTGTATGGAAGTCTTATTCCGACAGAGGCAGCACCTGTTCTATCAGTCTGTAAAGTTTTTCATGATACTCATATTGAAAGAAATATATTACATATACTGTACTTTCTAATTGTGGATCTACGAATGACAGTCCGTATTTGAAGAAAAGACTTCTCACGAATGGAATTCGTTCAAACTCATCAAGAGTGATAGGTCGCGGCAACAATTGCCACTGATTTTCTTGTGGGAAAAACTCGTAAATGAACTCCTGAAAAATAGAAAAAAAAATTTCTGAGATGATTTAGAGTGAATACTTCAGGATCTGTCATGAAATAATGGTCATCATATTCATATCGAAGGTTTCCATCATTGCGATTGTCAAGAGAGGTGTCTTTAGCGTTTCTTTAAGAATTCATTTTAAAGAAAGATTAGTTTCTGTACACTTACACTAAATGTCTGGCTCCCCAGTTACACTGAACAAATCGCCATGAACCATCCAAATAAACTGCATTCCACGTGTTCCTGAACAAATGTCTTACTAGCAGTGACTGTAAGTGACTCACCTGAATCTATGGTCATCGAATGAATATCCGGGCTGGTAACCAGCTGATTTGGAGAAGCCTTTGATGACTACACAATGAAGGCCTGCATAACTGAAACTCAATAATTAATTGATGATACAACAACTAGAAATAAAATATGCAACCGTTTCTTTTATAAAATGAGGGAAAATGAAATTGAACCAACCTGCATAAACGTTTAAATAGGACGTGATAGCTTTCAGTGCCATATTTGATTCCTCGAAGTAGACCCATGGGGGTGTCATTTTGAACACTATCATCGAAAATCATAGTGTTCAAGTTTTTGATAGTTATCCATCGATAAATGGCTCGAGCTATATCGACGTCACTGCGAGCTCCTTGAGTGAGAGCCCTGATTAGGTCAGTGAACGAAGTAACTTCACTACGGGCACAATACATAGCTATTTCGTCGATCGACTGCAATTATATTGAGGTTACTTATTCTGAAAGGCTGCTATAATCACCGAAAAGAATTCTGTAGAAGTATATATATCTCTTTTACTACAGCTTGGAGGGAAAGGGGGTGGCGGTGTTGTGGGATAATCATTCTGACTGTATTCCTGAAAAAGTTAAATGATCATCTTATACATGGCAAAGTTTATCATACAGATCTTTGTGTTTTGAATAAATCTAACATTTCCTTAGCTTGCTTATCAACGAGCTCTGCTGTTTTATGACGTTCCCTCTCCTAGAAAGATCATATGATTGAACGAAAACTGAACATACAACTTACGCGTCTCTTGGAATGTAAGGTTTCAAGCTTTTTCTCTCTTTTGATTGTAAGCTGTCGGATTAAATCATCTTTATTCTTGGAGTTGGCTTGACCTTTCTCGAACTTTCGAGCGAATTCAGCTAAAGCCTGCTCCCACTCTTCCTTAAAACGACGCATTACTATATTCAAGTGATTTTACTTTTTCATACCTTTGTTTCATGCTCGAACTGAGCAGATTCTTTGGTCCGCTGGTCATGGAACTCTTCGTACAAGCGGTCTTCATCGCTTCTATGCAACAGTTCCAAGCGTGTCTGAGCATCATAATCCTGAAGAAGAAGAAATATAAAATGTTATGGAATGATATTCCATTAATTGTTCAAAAAGTGTTTCGTTTGATTGGTTATTGCTTCAGTTCAGTTATAAATAAAAACTATTCACTCACGATCATATACATGGCTCCCTTGTGTTCAATTTTGGGATACGGCTTAGCAACTTGCGTAGCTTTGATAGCGTGAGCAATCTTCATGTCTGCCAACCCAGCATCTCTACAATGTCAAGTATGTGATAATAAGTTACAAATATTAGTATCCGCATACCTTCGATAATTCATCGAGCGATTGTGTTGAGAACTATCCGGTGATCCAGTTTCAGCTTTTAATGGGACAAGATCATGAGGTCCGGCAATTGGCACATGATTGGCGCAATAAACTTCCTAAACAAAAACATTAACTATAAAATTATGAGGAAAAGTTTACTTTATCATTAATGTCATTACGATTATTACAATATGTTTTCAGAGCCAATCTTGTTCCACAAATGTAGCATTTGAAGCATCCTGAGTCGAGAGTTAACTGTTTGCTTCGATGTACCTTCACTCACCTTGATGAAAGAATGTTGAATCTTTCAATGGTCCGACTTTATCAGTTGGATAAACTTGCTTTTTACAACGGTTACAATGAAGTTTCGTCATCCCTCCGGATGGGATCTCTTGCTTTTATCGTTCCTTTCACGACTTCAGAGTTGAAATAAATCTGCAAAAAGAGTTGTATCTCTGTGAATAGACCATTCATTTATAAAGTGAAAAACGATACAAAAAGATATTCATAGATGTTTTTAGGAATGAAAAGTACAAGAAAAACCGGAAAAAAAACGTACAAAATGACACAAAAATCAGCTTATATGGAGGAAGGTTTGGGCTGGAAAAATGTGAAAACATGACTCAAAGGGGGCTTTGATGTGTTTCGGAAAACGAGTTAAAAGGAAGTTTTGTAAAAAAAAATCCAAGTTGAAGTTGTATGTTTTAAGATGATTCAACCAATAAAAAGGTGTTGACACACTGAAAAGGTAGGGGAAATGAGGAAAGCATAAGAAACGTTCTAGGAAGTTAAGGTCTTTCATAGGTTTAGGTGATGAGTCTTTGTATTTGCAAACAATAATCCATTAGGAACATTGAGAATAAGAAAAAAGAAAAATAAACAGACATGAGATGGATATTCGTCTGAATAGAAATGGAAAATCAATTCTTACGATCTTCAGGTTAATGAACAGGTTGAGAGCGAACGAGAGCAGAGGAGAGAGAGAGGGAAAAAGAGAGAAAACAATGAAACATTAGAAAATGGAGAACAGCTGGAGGTAAATGACACTGTGAATCATGAGATAGTCGGTTCACGTATGGTCCGAAAAGCCGACAAAATGCGTGAAATGGATCCTCTAGTTGTCGTTGGACTGTATACGACGTTATTGAATGAGTAAACAGACTATGTGTGGGAGATAGAAAGTAGAGAGTGAGAAAGAAGGAGAGAAAGAGGGAGATTTTTGAATAAAACCAATAAATTGTGAGAGAAAAGCATGGTTCATCAGAAAAATGAAGAGAGATAGGTAAAGGTACACTTAATTAACGAATGAAATAGAAGATGAAAAAGAAGAAACAGATGAAGCACGAGGACAGACGGCGGAGACATCTGATGATGGTCATCTATAGCAGTTTCTATATAAGAAAATGATCAATAAAAATATTTTTATGGACGAAAATGAATAAACACTTAAACATCTTTTACAATAATATTCGAGCAAATACTCAGAAAGAGGAAGAATTATATCTCCAGTGGAGGTAATCATGTAAATGTTTGTTCAAAGGTAAGAGTGTTCATTAGGTGTGAAATATGAAATTTTTTTGTTTAAAAGAAAGTCTTATATATCTTAATTGGTTAAAACTTCAACTCGTTTCAACCATATTCAGAAGTTAAGGAGGGAAGGAAGATGAAAAAAGATGTTTTAACAATAGAAATGACTTTGGTCAGTTTCTGCCTCATGTGAACAACCATCGAAATGCTTTGAAGTTCATTTTAAGTGCTTGTCGTTTGTCTTTGACTTCATCTGAATTTCTTTTATGAAAGTCTCATGCTTCTTCAATGTTTTTGCTTCAAAGCTATTGCAACTCAAGCCGTTCCTCTCGTAAGTCTCTTCTCATACTTAACCATCTCCGATCATGCTTGTCTCTTAACTCATCTCTTCTTTCTCGCTCACACACTCTCCCTCTTAACTTTTTGTGAATATTCAACATGGAGGCTGAAAATCAGCACCATCTTCATAGATCTAACTTTTGCTTTTAGCCGAATGCCTCAAAGCTCACCGTTCAACAAACAAAATTTGACGATACACACCACGACAACTAAGATGAATCGGGACAAATCTGTCAAAACTAAATTTGGGAAATAATTTCGAACAAATCAACCATACCGAGAAATCATTTATAATTTCAGCAAAAGAAACATAAACGAAATTCTAATGTTTCAAACTCAAAAAAAAGCGACCTTGTTCAGAAAAATTTTGAACAATCAAAGGATCAACGTATGATTCTGAAGAAAAACAAGATTATTTTTAATCCAATGTGTTGTTCATTGAAAGTATTGAAATGAATAGCCGAAGGGACATGGGAATTGAGAGAGGAACACATGTATTTCCAAATATAGTTCCTTTGTATTGTTATATTTGAACAACTAAAGAAACTATAATCATAGAACAGCAAGAAACATGCTGTAGTGAAGAGAGTCAATGAGAGAGGAGGCAAGAGATAGGGAGAAAGAGAGAAAGAAGAGTAGGAAGACTTATTAAACTTGGTAGAAACAAAAATTGTCCTTTTTTAGAAGAATGTCTGACAAACTTGTCCTCCTCTCTTTCTCATATCCTAATTGCCTAAATGAACGTTATGCTTAATGATCACAGATGCTTTAATGTACAATGATTTCCATAAAATATAAAAATTTAATGAGAATTTAATGCTTTGAATGAAGAAAAGTAAAAGTTATATTTGTCCAAATAAGGATTATAATGATCTTTTCTTTCAATTTCTACCTGTTTTATTCATAATTGGACACGCTCTAGATCATTACTCAAAGGGTAACAGGGATGAGACGAACAAGAAAATACTAAAAATGCAAGAACTTGATAACAGAATTGCCTTTCTTTTCAGAGTATTTCCATCTCAACTTCATATTCCTAACATTGACTCATAGAGTTGTTTGAAATTTTTAAAATTTTCTTCAAAGTGACAATTCGCAAGGTCATGGTAAGAAATTTTTAAAGAAAAAAACACATACGGATAAGCTGCAATACAAATACGAGAGGGGAAAAAGAAAGAAAAATCATTTTTATTTCCAAATGAAAGGTTGGAAGATATTTATGGAATTTGCATAATTTCCGTGAAATCTTGAGAAGTTGAGAACATAAAGATAGCTATGAATGATTATATCTTCAGTTTACATCAAAAGACCTGTCTTGCGATAGATGGACGTGTGCTGATCATAGAAATTTGAAAATAGTTTTGGAGAAAAAAAAGAGAGAGAATGAGATGAGAAAAAAAGAATGGAAAAGACAACCGTTCAGTACGAGATGAATGTTGAAATATGGTTTCAACATTCGTGAGTCACGTGACTCACGTGAATAATTAACATATCTATGTCAGTTAGGTAAAGAAGAAAATGGAATCGAACATTTTATAAATAAATTCGGATGAGATTACACTGGCTTAAGGATTCAAACGGCTTGGGTTATGAAAGAGAATGTAGAAGGCGAACGATCTTCTAATCAAGAAGTTGAACGTGAAGTTAGTTTCAAGCTCAAGTTAAAAGCAAATGAAACGTCAGGCGTCTGTAAATGGACTATTGACTCTATTCTGATGGAGCTTTCGAAGAAATTTGAGGGAAAGGTAGAATAAGGAAAGGTGAAGGAACGGTAAGAAAGAGAAAGACAGGGAGAGAGAGTGAGTGTCGAAGAGAAGAAGAAGGAAGAAGAGATTATCGTCTATTCGATAAGTAAACGAGATTCGTTATAATGAGTCGTCTTATCTAAATAAAGTATACCTTTCATTCGCCAATCAAAAGAGCATTTCCGTGAGCATAGCATACAGATATAGCTGAAGAGCTTTCTGCTAGAAAAATGCGTAATGGATTTCTTAAATGGGAAATGTTACAAAGAATAGCCTGAAGGCTTGGACTGCAAATTAGATGTTCGGTCATGTTACCTTTCAGGTCTTCATTTTCTTTCTATCTCATTCATCCCCTCATACATTGAGGTCTAATTGACTTTTTGTAATTTCTCGTAAAAGACCGACTTCACTCTCTTTCTTTCAAATGTAGTTGGTTAGAATAGTTTAGTTTCTAAAATTGGAAAGCCTTCAGATGAAGATGAGACGACCAATGAATCGTCTGAAGCACACAACTAATAAGATCCAGTTTTAGAAAATGTTGGTAGAATTTGTCCATAAATGGAAAGATATAAAGAGTATAAAGAAATGGAGAGATAATACAAGTTTTTTGATCAACAAGCACAAAAAAGTTTGTTTGAAGTAATTAAGAAACATAAACTGTCTAATGTTCGTCCATTTTTATAAGAGAAAAAAAGGTTTCAAAAAAATGGAAGAGCGTTAACTATATGACCCTTTATAGTTAACCTCATTTACATACATTTCCATATAAATATAAATGATTTCGAGACTTTGCCCCCTGGTGAGAGTTTGATGAGAGACGTTAACCTTTCAAAGAACTTGTAAGACATCTAATCGTTTATTGATTGCTAAATACATTTGAATAACAAAAAAAAGAAGAAAATCTTCAAAAGAATAATATACAGATGGATATCATTCTCTCTTATCCTTATTTGGTAAGATATTTGTAATGAAAAACCAAAAGAAACTGAAAAAAATCGTTTTATCGAATTAACAGATGAATTTCTTTTCGATTTTCAAGCTTCTAATTCCAAATGTTTAATAATCATTTGCAATTCTTAGATGCCTTACATGTAGAGAATCAGAAATAAAAAGAAACATTGAGCGAATAAAAAGAGAGAAAAAAGTATTTAAAAGTAGATTCAGTTGTTGTCAACATGCTGATCGCAACCTAATTTCACAACTTTTACTGTCCTAAGCAGTTGAACGATTGATGGGAGAGGAGGAAGACGGAATATGAACGAACCTTTGTTAAGAGAGTCGCAAAATAACAAAATTGTCGTGAAATTAAAGAATTAATTTTTTTTCTGCAGAAAAGAAGAGAAATATTGAAAATTCAAATATAAAGAGGCCAACAACTAATTGAGACCGGATTTATTCTCAATTATAGTCTGCCATTTGTCATTTGGTTCTGTCATTGCATGTATGGGATGAGACAATCCCATCCACAAAAATATGAATTAAATAAAATGAGAAAAAAACCATTTTTTTGCAAACAAAAATGAAATTCTGGTTCAACAGATTGGTCGCTTCTTCATGAAATCCGAACAGCCATTCAAACTGAACCAGTTCGTTTATGCCGTTAGAACGATCATCTCGTATGAACACATAGTTATATGAAAATGTTTTTTTTGTTTTATTTTCATATCTTATAGCTAATACTACTAGTTTGATATTCAGTTAGTTATGTTTGAAACAGAAAAATATAAATGAAAGGACAAGAAGAAAATAGCACAGTAACTGCATGTCGCTTGTCCCATTTTGGGTTGATCTCGACTTTGCGAGTCAGTCATCCAGAAATTAACAGGTGTCGGTTAATGTCAGATTAGAATTTAAAGAATTAAAGATTAAAAACAAAATTATGCAAGGAATACAAAAGCGAAGCGTTCATCATATTGGTTATGTCAGGTGAGTATGAGTAAGTATGGAAAAGCCAATAGAAATTTAAGAAGATGCTCAGAGAAGTGTTTGGTTGACCTCAACCATCTGAAGCGTCGACGACGACATCACCTGTTACTCTCATGTGCCTTCTTCTAATACTACCTTCATATGTAGTAGGAAGGCCTTGTTCGATTGACTAGAATTGAAGGCCATTGTCTGCCGGATGCCAACATATCGATCGATGGAAATTAGATGAAGATGATGAGGAAAGGAAAGATGAGGAAAGAAATTTATGAAGAGAACGGCGATGGTGAAGAAGAGACGGAATAAGTAGGAAGTATGAAGAACATGACTTAAGAGATCGTATAAGGGTAAAGAGGACAATGAAAAAGAATAAGTAGGTATGTTGAGAGAGAAATACTGGGAGATAAAGAGAGGTAAGAAAGAGATCGAAGAGAGGTGTGGAACCTGTGTGAATGTGAAAGTTCTATGAAACGGTCAGGAAATTGTGAATGAACAACATCAGGTTATGAGATGAGGAAATCGTATTGAAGTATAAAGAGTTTCAATAGAGGGAACACAGAGACTGAGAGAGAAAACAGATGATTCATCGATGACGAGGTGAATGAGATGATTATTATAACAATAAGTAATTATGAAAGGAAATATCCCTATGAATAGAAAGTAAAACAAACGAAAATTCGAAACTATTTTAAAATCAAAATCGTTTAAGCTATCCATTCTCTGCACTGTGTTTGATCAAAGAAAAACGTCAAATGGACAAACAAAAAGTTTATAAAATTTGTGAAAATTCTGATAAAAAAACTTTTTTTTTGATTTTTCGGGATGAATTGGAACAACCGGTCGCTCGTCCAGAAGAGCTCAGAAATGGATAAGTAGTGCAAGCATTACGCATACGGAAGGCATTAATTGCTTGATAGTTGATGCTATACTTCAGTCACCTAAATAAGAAAGAAAATTCAGAAATTGTATGAAACAATGTCATTCGACCCTTCTTGAAGTTTCATCTGTTACTGCAGAGGTTAGACCCTTAATGATATTGGTAATTATAACGAATTATGTAAATTTCACTAACAGAAGGATCTTCTTGATTTTCAGAACTGTCTTCATTATCCTTAATCATTAAATATTGTTTTTCATAAACTCTTAATCATACTGATGATTCTGCTGAGATCGATTGAGTTGCCTGAAATAAAGACTCTCTTATCAATCGTTTACTCTCCATTAATTATACATTCAAAGCTTTCGTCTGATTATCTTTTAATCTCTAAAATATCCAATTATTCTCTTTCCTAATTCGATTTTCATCAACTTTTTCTATAAAACCTTCTGAGTTTGTATCGTTTTCCCGTTTGGTAGAAGTCATTGGTCCCTTCATCATCACGACTGCCTGAAATTAGAAAAAATAACGCAACTACAGCTCTCGGTAATACTGGAGGCTTGGAGTTACGGATATCACTGGTGATACTTGATTGAGACGACGTAGTTTTAACTGATCAAGAAATTTCATGATGTAACACAATTTCAGTATACCAGAGGAATTAAGTTTATCACTATCTGAGATGTTGTCGGCTTTCAGTACTACACATGTATTATCTCCCGTGTCTGTATTACTTAAAGGAGCTAGACGGTTCAGAGGAACAAGCTTAATGTTTTTGAATTATTAGTGAACTGGTCAAATCTATGAATCTCACATTATTTACGAGCCTCGGAGTTCTAGCGTTAATTTCTATAGGGATTCTGAGACCACTGTTGCTTCGAAATGTTCTTACTTGTGGCTTCTTCCTGAATATTGATGAGCGAATAAAAATAAAAACATCCTTACATAATTTTCTTATTACGTTGACAAGATGCATGTATAGCATGAGGCGGTTTGATAATAACTGAAGTCGGCTCAAAATCCTAAACTCATTAATAATCCCAAAATTTGACAAAGAAAAAACTTTTTTTTCTGTTATTCTGGAGCTGAACAAGTTAAGAACCTGTAGAATAACAACTAGAAGAACTCCAATGGCTATAAACTGCAAAAGAACAAAGGACAATCAAAATTAGATGTTTTGGGTAATCTTTTCGCATACAACAACGAGGATATACAAGTTTTCGATCTGCCACGGAACATCTCTTAGTGAACGAATGAGTTCATTGCTGAAACAAACTTGAAAAATAGCTTCCAAAAGTGTTTTAACCTCAACACGGTATTCATTCTTTCAGTTTAAATTGATTCTTGGCGTTTGTAACTAAAATGAACATTTACGTGAGACCCACGTGAATGACGTCATCTTTCATACCTTGATCCCATTTGAACAAAAAGTGTGGAGATGAGAGCAAAGATTGAGATCACGAAAGCGGAACATGAGTAAAAAGAAATTAGCATAGACGTAGAAACTGTTTGAAAACTCTGCATGTGTCAAAACACATTTCAAAAACCAAAAGATTATGAAAATCTATTGATTAGCTAAGAAAATAATTATTTTAAGATATCTTTTTTTGGAATCTCTCTCTCTCTCTTATCAAAATTCAGAATCTACGAGGTTTTTGTTCGAAAGATACCGGCTAGGTTGGTATATCCATGCTAAGACGATTGTTCCTCTGTTTCTTTGAAATATTTTGTGTTTCCTAAAAAAAAATGATTACAATATTTGATGTTTCATTTATGTCCTTCATATTTCTTTAGATAGACGCTTGACCAACCAGTTCATTTGAAGAACAGACAAGCCGATTCATCCATTTGAATTCTCTTCTTCTTCTTCTTCTTCTCCTCCATCTACGCTGTTCTTCTGAATATTGTGATTCTTCCAATGTTTCTGAAGAACTGAAACTTATGAAGACACACTTTCACTTTTTTATAAATCTCTTATATGTTGCTCTGTTAATCATCATTCTTACAATGATCATCGTTTTTTCTGTTTTCTCGGGTTCATATTCATACTTTCATTTCTCCTCTCCTCTCACAAACTATCGGTGGTGTCTTTGCAACCAATTTCCTCGCCAAGAGATTGCTCTTCGCCATTACGGTTGATGAACGAAAGGAAAACTTTATGATAATTTTTTTGTTCAAAATTTATTCAACAAACGTCTTTGCCACTTTTGATGTTTTATGTGATCCAGTTTTTCCATTCTTTCACTGTTCCATATGTAAATGTGAATGAACTACCCTAATTCTTATAAAAGCCTTCAGGCTCATCTCCATAAATGATTTCTAACTTCTTTTGTTATTTAACAGTTCGTTTTTGACTATTATATTATGCATTCTCCAATCTTCCTCAAGATTTCCTCATTTTTTCATTCTCTCTTTCTCTTTCTTCAATGTCTGTCTCTCCTAATCTTCGAATGCTCTCTGACCTCCTTTTTTGTTCCATTCTTAAACCTGTCAGAGAACAACTGATTCCGTTCTACTCCTTGTTCTCCTTCATAGTCTCTTTTTCATGAAACTCATCCCTCTAAATTGACGACAGCCGTGAGGATTTATTTCGGCCTCAAAATTCGTCAATCCTTTACTGGAAAGCTTTCATTTACTTTTCTCGGAAATAACCATTTTTAAACTTAGCTTTCTATTGTAACTTTTATAGTCTCTACTGCTGCTGGTAAGTAAAACAATATCCCGATTATCTTGGATAGAAACACGTTTCATATATAAATTCTTAAATGATTGAGTGAACGGTTTGTTCCAAGAACTGCTTTAGGAACAAAAAAATCTTCTTTTTGTATTTTTTGGATGCTTCTCCTACGCCAGATTGATACTATCAATGGCTTCTGCTAAGCTACAAGAATACCAATCAGAATGTTTCCTGTTCCATTAGTCAATCCAGTTAGGTTCAGCTGAAGCATGTCTTATCTTGTACTTATGCTTGTCTAAAATTTCATTCCTCAAAGTCCATTAAAAAGACAACAAAAAATGTACAAAAGATTACCATAGACTTGCAAAATGGCTTAAAATGTGTTTCCGACAACTTCCAACCCAAAATGATACAGAATGCAACAGGTCTGTCATACCTAATTGGTCCTCTGTCACATTTTGACGGCATTATGGCCATCTCCTGCTTAGCTAAACCTAATTTTTATAGAAATTCTTCTTTTTTTTTCTTAGTTTCTTGAACAACCTTCTTTCACAGCTGCTCTTCATTGACTTAGATCATTTCTTTCAGATTTCGTGCCGAACCTTCTCTCCATCACCAATTGCATAGTATGCGGGGCCTGGTCCCTATTTTCGTTTCGTTCTTTATCTCATTTGGAGAATGCAATATCGCTTTAACATTTCCTGAGGCACGTTTCCCTCCTTTGGATTTTTTGGACACATCAAGAACTATGGAACCTTGCGGTGTGCCAAAGCCAAGAAATCGTTAGCTATAACTGGTTTTGTAATATTTCCTCAAGTCATATATTTAGCCTATTACACAAATTTAATAGTTGGAACAACCTATAATTTTACATGGAGAATGCAATATCCTCATCAGGTAATTATTTATAATTAATGTTTCCTTATTGATGGTATGTAGGGTGGATACCGTCTTGTTCTGCTAGGCCCTTCCGGAGAAATAATAGAGAGCTTGGCTCCAATGAATGGTTTAGAATTCAAGGGATCAGAAGATGCAACGTTAGAATTGCTTTGTGTTTCAGAAACTTAGAAGAATTCTTAACTTCAGAATTCAAAATGAACAAATTCGCTTCACCAAGAGTTGCATGGAATGTACAGTCGTTTTGGAGCGACAAGCATTGGAATGGGGAAAGTCATACCGTTTCCGAAGTTGTGCCGATGTTAATATTCTACAAGCAGCTTCAGGTCTATCACGATAATGTCTTTTTGTAAACCATTTTTTTCAAGCGGACTCAGTTTGTAATGGTCGAGGAACGATGCAGGACGGCCAGTGTGTATGCGAGAGTGGTTATACAGGAGATATTTGCCAATATCTAGGTTGGACCTCTCAATGAATTGAATGCGACCGTTCTCATTTTGAGTATTGATGAAAAATAAAAAATAAAAAAGTTCGATTCCCGCCACGAGAATGTTCTCGTGAGCATATAAGAACTAGAACAACGTCTCTGACAATAATTTTTAACGAATATAGTTTTGTTTCAGCCGACTGTGAAAGAGATTCCGATTGTTTGAACGAAGGAAAGTGTGTCTCAGAAGCTAACTCCTTAGTATCTAAGACATGTTATTGTGCTTATGGATATTTTGGAAAAAATTGTGATCAAAGTAAGTAAATAGATAACAAGTTTTGAGACACAAAAAATAATAAAATAATGAGCGAGAATTTTTTTTTCCAGATTTTAATAGACAGAATGATGCTTGTTTCGCTTATGCAAATAAGGATGAAACATCCTTTGACAAATATGGAATGTTCAGCGAAAACTGTTATAATAAAGAATCTTTTAATGAAAAAGATTTTATTTACTTTCGAAAAGTAAAAGTAATTGTCATTTTCATATTCTACCGTTCATAATGATTCGTCTTTTAAGAGCGACATTGAAATTATTTTGGATTTTCAATCAACATCCTGGCTATCTTTGGGTTGGCGACCAGAAGGCTTGGATCCATCATGTCGCCTCTTTCCTGATTTAGAAGGTTTTTTTTCTAAAATCTATGCTGTCAAAGATAATATCGGCTCGAATGTTTTGAAGAAAATAACACTTTCATCTAATCTTTGTTGTTTTATTAGCTTGTTTACAACATCTATACGCTTTCAGTACTAATTATGAGCTTTTTATGTTCATTTTACAGGCGTAAGATCTAAGCGATCCCAATTCGATGCTCCTCCGATTGTTTTCAATAATGTGAGAAATAATCTTCCTAAAATTACCGAATTTTCTTGAAACATTTAAGGACGAAGCACCTCCAACAGTATTACGAAACGATGATCCACCACCTCTCCGTGTTGCCCAAGAAGGTCCTCGTCCGAAAATGCCAAAAAACAATGGATTAAGTATGAAATTTAGAAACTGCTTTGAAAAGTAATAATTGCATTCTTTTAGTGAAGACAGCATTAGAGGCTCCCTTACATGCTATGGATTGCGTTGATATGGTCGTCGGAGCAGTTAAGGATGGGAGATTAAAAATTAACGATATGTATTCAAGAGATAGGTCAACTCCTCTTAATGACTTCTGGTTCGTTACCCTTAAACAGTTATCAATTTCTTTTTCTGAATAGGTATGAAGGCGAATTATCTTTCTTGGCTGCTTATGGAGCGGAAATAGATGGTCGAACGGTTATAATGTTCCGTAGGTGGATGCAAGGTTATAAAACACTAAAGAATATCCTTGAAAAGTCTGTGTTACTTAGAAATTGAGCCTACTGATCATCCATTGGGGCCAGGACGACAGTTTGTGATTTGGGCTAAAGGTCAAGCACAAGGAGCGTATAGTCATGGAGCTCCATCTGGTTTGGATGGAAAACACAGTAATGAAGATTTTTATGCCGACGACATTTTAAAATATCATGGAAGTAAGTTCTATATTCTGGAGCTTTATCCAATCCTTTCTTAAAGATCAAAATCGTGGCGTTCATCCACTTGATTTTACAATTCCTCCAGCCAAATATCCTAAACCGGATGATGCAGCTTTTGGTGTTCATATAGCACAAGGTTCTAATTCTCTTTTACGACTCAAATCGCTTCATTTTGTGTATTTGAGGTCATCCAAAGCAGAAGCCATTTGAAATTTCAACGACAAAAGCTCCAGATACGACATCTGAGGAACCAAGTACAACTATGGTCAAAGAAAAAGAAGAACCTGATGGAACATCCATTTCATATTCGATACTCATACCTTTCTTAATATATTTATTCATATTTTTTAACTAATTTATTGTTTTTACATCATATATAAACAAATTATTATTATAATTAAGAATAGTCAATACACTTGAAGGTACATGAACAATCACAGCCGCACTTTCCTATCCGTTTCTTATGAACAATACGCACAGGTTCTACACCATTTGTGCATTGCTCAATTCCACATGGACAATCACAGTCTTCACAATCAGCTTTAATTCACATATCTCATACTGTTTGGTTGAAAGAAAAACATACGATCGACAGCAACGAGGGGGAAAGTGCTCGAATCAAATGGACAAATCTCCGTTTTCCATAACAGATCGACCAAAGTATGGTTTTGTCCATATTGATGCCAACATTGAATTCCGCGGTATAGCTGAGAACGATTTGTATTTATAAGTATTAGTCATGTTTATATACCAAATCCGAGACTAATGAATGAGAAAAATCTTCTTTAGCGTTGTTTAACTGGTCATGAATACAACCATTAGAATCTATTGAAACTGACGGTGCTGAACAGCAGATTGGGTCTAGACTGGATTTTATTGAAAGTGAAGAAAAAAACGTTTTCTTTTCTACTCACACAACAGCTTGAGTAATGTTCTCGAGCAGAAATGCATGGAAGCCTCCTAAGAAACTGTTTCCCGTACAGCCTGAATTTGATTAATTTCTGTCTGGTGATAAGGGATAAACAGACCTTCCAACAGTCCGGTGCATTTGGGAATGTTCTGTTGATGTGAACATGTTGTTTCTTCTGGTAAAGCTATTTGTTCACATTCAATTGTAAGAGAACCCAGAGTGCTATAATGAGTTTTTGCTCTTCGAATAGCTGATACTCGATATCCTTTGTTACATTCGAGAGCCTAGAATAAAAAAAACTTTACTTTAAGTCATATACTCGATAACACGAACTTACATAATCAACATCGGCTAATATAATTGTTGGAATTACAAGTGAAAGAGATAAAAGAAATGACCGATTCAACATAATGCAAACTTAGAACAAGGCTTGAAGATGAAGGTGAAAACGAGACTGACAGTCTACTAGAAAACGGGCTGACTGCCTTGTCCATTTTGGGATCATTGAGATTTTGAGAGAAACTCTGATTTGTATGAAGTTTCAACGAGAATGAGAGAAACATTAAAGACCTTCTCGAAAATGTATTGAATTATGAGATATTCAGAAAAATTTCGTCTTAATAGAAACATTCGGACAATTCGATATGAGTCAGAACAGAAATTCATTCAATTACGTTTAATGTATGACAGCTAAAGAACAAAGATGGGAAGATAAGTGCTGACTGATCCACAACTTTAAAAGAAGGAAACCGTTTCATTTAACTTCGATTCCACAATGGAAGTTAGCACTGTTATCCTTCAACTTCTTCTTATCTAATTCAGTTACTATTTTCTACGAGAAAGCGTATATCATTCTGTACAGAATGTTCATTAGCATACAATAAGCTTATTATAGAGATTCATCTGATCGTCACTACGACGGCTTGAGAGCATCAGAGAGCAGCACCGCGAGCTTTCGTTGCTCCTTTCTCCATCTAATCCGTCTATTTTGAAACCAAACCTTGATCTGAACATAATAAATGTGTATTTATACAATTCTAGCTAAGTTACCTGCGAAATTCCAATCTGAAGCTGATGCGCGAGTCTCTCTCTGTCACTTCCTACCAAGTATTGTTGTTTTTGAAACTCTGCTTCCAATACGGCTAACTGCCATGCAGTGAATGTTGTTCGATTTCGGCGTTTAAGATCAGAATCAGATGACGATGAAGACGACATAGCTTAAAAAGTAAAAAATTCAAAAAATGAACGACAATCTACCGTTCAGAAACCTGATAATTGTCTGGAAAATGTCGTCTTTTCCTCTATCATCTGCCAAATTTTTTACACAACATCCAACTAGGCCCTTATAAGGCCATTATGCCTAACGCTTTTGACCCAAACATAGCTGTCAATTGAACGACGACAATCATCAATTAGAATGAGATAAACACAACAATTAAAGTGGAAAGAGGAGAAGTTATATGACAGCGAGATGAATGAAGATATGCTATCATATTCTGAACACAAACGACAGTAAAAAGCTCTTTTTTCATATAAAACAAGTACAAAACAACCCTAATTCGATTGAACAATGAAAAAATATTTTTTATCAAAGCTCCGGAATGCCACAAGGTTCTTGTATTCATAGGAATCCGGGAGAATATGCTCAGTCAAGCTGGGCTCGAATCGATGAGTTCGAGGGTAGAGCGCGATCTTGAGCCCAGAGTCCAAGCTATCTACAGCTGGTATTTTTTGGATTTCGATTCTATAAATCAATAAACAAAATAAATTTAACATAGCTGTGATATTGTTTGGAACGGATGCTATACCAGTTATCCTTCATCACTTTCATTTGTTGAACTGTTGTTAACGAAAATCGGCAAAAGCTTGAGCACAGTTCAAAACCGTATCCGTATATTGAGCCGTGAGTTCTGAAGTAAGTTGCCACTTCATTCTTCAACACATTCATTCGAGAGTGTTTATTGGAGTTATTGTAAGGAACGAAGTGTCTTCACGCAATAATACAAAACCTATTGAATAACTTCAGTTGGATTTCTGTCTGATAAAATCGATAATCACTACAGACTTGAACCATTTCAGTTGGTCATCTAATACAAAATTTATTCAAAAACATTGAATGATCAATGAACATGAAAACGGATTCAAAACAATGGTGATAATTCTAAAAATCAATAAGTAATTCATTGCATGGCAAACTATAAGTATCATCATATTGATTGATTTCTGTTCATAAAAAACTAATTTGAATAGTTAGTCTGTTTTTTTCTGTTAAACAAACACAAAAGCAGCCTTACCAGTTTTGTGTCATCTTTCCTTCTTATTCATCGACGATCAAAAATCATCAGATTCAGATTATATTCCAACTATAAGGTTATCCTTCAAATTATTTCTGTTGGCATTAAGTGTGAATGATGTAATCAATCAGAATCATCATCATAGTACAAATACATTGATGGAGTGAGCCTTCTTTCTGACCGTCAAACTCTTGTTCCGACGGTATATGGCTATCCAGTTCTCTCAATGATCTGTCCTCGTTTATTCGTTTTTTCTTAATTCTCATACGTACAAACAGTCATTTGTGCTGCTAATAGTTACTTATATTGATCTATTTGAAAGTACAACACTGCAATACATGTTGTAGTTAACAGAATGTCTTTCGCATGAAACGCAGATGTAATCTTTATGATCTAACAGTATCTTTGAATTCGATTTTCGTTTTGAAAATCACTGTTTTTAATTATATAAACGTGGAAATTTTCGTATCAGTTTGCTTTACGTTGTATGTTTAAATAACTTGAAACTATTAGTAGTATTTGAACATGTGTGTATATGTGTGAATCCGTAACTACAAGTTTGCGTGAAAGTTAACACAACATACTACATTGACGAGACATCTTTCATTCCCGAAAGCAATGTCGTTTCCTGAATTGGGGTCTGTTGAACAGTTCAAAAATGACTTTTCTTCTTTGCAAGCTTATCAATAATTCTTTTCTATGTCTTCTGATATCAATAACATTCTTAAACTTTCAATTATTAGTCTCATCACAATATACTTCCGACTATATGAAACATATTTTACAAACTTACATTAAAACATTTCTTTTTTTAACTCCCGTTCTGAACTTTTTTCATAAATGGATAGGAATGCCAAATATTATTTTAACAAAGTTTTCCAATAGAAATTTACAAAAAAGAAGAATAAGAAACTGCAAAGAAAGCTGAGTGAGGACCTCTGTCAATATTTGTATGTGACCAACACAAAAGCCTGTTCACTTCTCAGATGGGTTCGCTGTGTTGTCGACCGGCAACTGTACATGATGAGCCAACTACATCCGTAATTATACCAAGGTGTAAGTTGTCACCAACTCCTTTTTTCTCATGAATAAAAAAAACTTTCAGCACATGATATTGATCCTATTGGTCATTTATTAGTATTTATCAATCCAAATTCAGGGTCAGGGAAAGGAGTAAAAATCTTCAAAAAGAGAGTGAGATTTATTATATTGTAAGAGAAAAAACTTTTAATTTTGAAGGTAGCTAGTCAGTTTGAAAAGAATAATATTTCTTATGAGCTTATTATAACAAGTAAGGACAAATACATAGCTAATCCTCTAAAATCTCTTGTTAGACGGGCCAAACCATGCACGAAATGTCGTTCTTACACATGCAAACCTCCATAAGTTCAATGGAATTGTTATTTTATCTGGTGACGGTCTTGTTTTTGAAGTGAACAGTTTTTTTTTCTATTCCAAAAGAAGATTAATGTTTAAGGTAGTTAATGGTCTTTCGGAAAGGTCAGATGCTGTCAAAGTTGTACCTTCTATGCCTATTGGAATTATTCCTTCCGGATCTGGCAATGGAATGTTATCTTCAGTTTTTGTCACAAAAGGGTAACAATTGAATCTCTTGTCCGTATATACTGTTCATTCAGGTGGACTTTAAAAAATCCAGGCTTTTTGAAACAATCAGTTGTTGTCGCAACGGGTGTGAAACCGGAAGCTCAACCTGTCAACTTACTTCATGTCCAAACTGAGAGGAAAAATGTCGCAGCTTTTCTAAGCATTGGATGGGGAATAATGGCTGACATAGGTTCATTTTAAAAATGATTATCGATTAAATTTTCACTAATCTGCCACCTTCTGCGCTGTCTTTTCAATTTCTGGTTATAATACGCAGAGATCGGTTGCGTTCTGTGAATTTTCCCTATTTCCAGATATAGAGAGCGAACGTTTCCGTTCTTCATTAGGATCTCAAAGATTCGTAGCTGGAGCGATCATTCGTTGTTTGAGTTAGTTATTTCAAACATAAACTTCTAACGACAGGAATTTGTTCCAGGCTTGAGAAGCTATCCAGGTCGTCTCAGTTATAAGCCATATGCTGGCAAGGCTAATTTCTCACAAACCCCTCCATTCGAAGTTTATGGTACTTCAAGATGTGACATGGTTTGTTCTCAAATGCAGAAACAAAAAATTGGATTGTTGTTCAGCTATCAGTTGAAACAGATAATTCAATGAGATGCGAAACACCAGAACGAAGATCAAAAGACAACTTTTGGAGAGAGAGACACTTGATAAACGTTCCAGATTTGGAAGATACTCTCCCGGATGATTGGATTTCAATTGAGGATGAGTTTATAGGCGTCTATGCGGTATATTTAAACTCATAGAAAAAAAGGGAAACATCAATAAGTACTGTTTCAGATGAGTCTATCTCATATTGCAACCGATGGACCATATATGCCTTTAGCCAAACTTGATGATGACAGAATATATTTAACTTTTGTTATGAAGAAAGACATCAAAGGCAAATTCGATATGTTCAAAATGTTATCTGCAATTGAAACTGCTAAGCATCTCGAGTTAGGTTTCGTTAAAGTGAGTACTAGGTTCTCTAGTATACATGAGTGGATGAAAATCATTTTCAGTGCATCCAAGTATCGGCTTTCCGGCTAGAAACTCTGGATCAAAAGTCAGTAATTGTAGTGGATGGAGAAGTGATGGACGCCCGTAAACTCCAAGTAACGTCCACCAATTTGAAAACCGCAGTGTTCACTTGATGATTCTTCTACTTACTTTCATTGTACAAAATCTAATACTTCAAGTTGTTGTATAAATATTGTTGTTTGTATTGTAAATAAGAACCTATAATTGTTTAAATATTTTTTAAATCAAAATTTGTTATCATTGCTATTTCACTCTTGGCTTGGCACTGTGACCCCTTCTGTTGTTGTTAGAACTATGCGCTGATAATATAACTCTGATGTATCCTTCTCAACGCTTATTACACTTCGGTATCGCTAGTGATTTCTACGAAAATAGAGTAGGTAGACAACTCTTTGTGAGTTCTTAACTGTGGTTATAATCTTAACAGGGAATTTAGAAAAGTGAATTAGACATGAACTCAAAGACCACGTACTTTGTATAAGTTAACTAAAGTTTAATTTTTTCTTCAAATTTTACTTCTTTAGCTTATTACATTTTTTTCTTCTACATTCAGTCTGATTGTTTGATATGCGAAAACGTTTTATTATAGATCGTTCTATGAATGAGAATATTCTTCAGCGGACACCGAATCAGTTTTAGAATAGGTCTCGCGCAGAACATTCCCGCCCTTGAACAATTTCCGATTTCATCAGGACTATTGTAAAAGCTTGATAGTTATATCAAATTCAATCTAGCTGTTTAAAAATTAAGCAGAAAAAAACAAACATGTTCAGTCCAACTCTTCTAATCATATATTATTAACATCGTACATGTCGTTCTATTAGTGCCTCCTTGCAATCGTTGGTTATTTAAGTATCCCATGAGCTTTTCAGAAAAGTTCATGCTGAGTAAATCATATAGAGCTCTACCTTGCAAAACTAGCGTAACATCAGTTCGATCAAAATGGCAAGATAGTTACAAACAGGGGTTTATTCAACCTGAACTTGGAGATCAAAAGCCCACTCATATCATAGTCGGAGCTGGATCTGCCGGATGTGTGCTAGGTATACCATTATTCAATTTTTGTTCTTTACTGTGTAACCTTGTTTCATATAGCTAATCGTTTGACGGAAGACCCGAGTAATCGCGTTCTCCTGATTGAAGCAGGTCCAAAAGACCATTGGTGGGATTGGCGTATCCATATGCCTGCAGCTCTGATGTACAACCTATGCCATGACAAGTACTAAAGTAACCGAAAGTTTGTGCCTATTCATCTTTGTCCATTTCAAGATATAATTGGTTTTATCACACAGTTGCTCAAAAAAATGTGGGAGATCGAGTGTTTTATTGGCCCAGAGGAAGGTATGCTGAAATCTTTTTCGAACATGCAATTTGTATATTTTGGGGTTTGGGGTGGAAGCTCCTCTTTAAACGCTATGTGTGCCGTCCGTGGTCATGCACTGGACTACGATAGATGGGCGTCAGAGGGTGCTGAAGGATGGACTTACGCAGAATGTCTTCCTTATTTTAAGAAAGCTGAGACTTACAATGGAACAGCGGTATGATTATTATTTTTATGAGTTCCAATGTTCGCTTCAGAAAAGTGAGTATAGGGGAACATCAGGACCGTTGTTCGTTAGTCAAGCTCCTGGGGATCACCTCCTACATCAGGCATTTTTGGACGCAGGAAACCATCATCCTATCGGAAAAACTAATGATATGAATGGTCAAAAACAAGAAGGGTTAACAAAAATGGATATGACTATTCATGGAGGAGAGAGGTTGCTTTATCTTGAGTACCAAAAACAATGATAATTCAGATGGAGTTCGTCGAAGGCTTACCTCCACCCAGCACTATCAAGAAAAAATTTGTTCACATCTTCTGGAATCGTATGTACGAAAGTACTTTTCAGTGGAAAAAAAGCTGTAGGTATTGAGTTTATTAGGTATGTATTGTGGCTTTCTGTTTTGTTTTGCATTATTGGTTTAAGTGGTTTTTTGTTTTTTCATTTTCATGTTTGAATTTTGAGTTGATTTTTCTTTTTTTTTCTTTACTCATAGTTTCAGGAAAGTTAATTTTTATGGAACTGAAAACATTGATTCATATAGTCGGGAGAAAATTTATTGTGAAGGAGACGTGATTCTTGCTGGCGGTAAAAGAAAAATTCGAAATCCTTGAAATCTTGTTGTTTAGGAGCCATAAATTCTCCACAGCTACTTATGCTGAGTGGTGTAGGCCCCTCGAGCCATCTCTCTAGCTTGGAGATTCCCCTTGTTAAAGATTTACCTGGGGTCGGTCAGAATCTTCAGGTTTGTAAGGTGGAGAGAAAAGGAGAAATACGAATGTTGATATAGGATCATCTTGAAATTTATGTTCAACATAAATGTATTCAACCCATCACTCTGTACAATCATAGCTCATGGAAGTTCCCTCATAACATGATACGTGTGGGCTTGGGTATGTCCTTCAAGAATGTTGTTGGTTTTAAAAATACTTTATTCAGAATGGTTCTCTTCTAAAACTGGGCTAGGAGCTAGTAGTCATTTAGAAACTGGCGGGTTTGCTCGTTCAAATAAACTGGTAGCTCATCCCGATATTCAATTCCATTTCCTCCCATCTACAGTCCATGATGACGGACGCACCAATGGAACAGGACACGGTTTCCAGGTAGTAGTGCCGTAAACTCTGTGTTTTAATGTTTTATCAGGTGCACGTCGGTCCGATGAGGTCTAAATCCAGGGGGCAAATCAAGCTCCAACACAAGGATCCCAGAAGGCATCCTTTGCTTGATCCACGCTATATGGACCATGATGATGATTGGACAGAATTTAGGTTGGAGATTCATGTGTTCTGTGTGTATGAGTTCACTAATTCTAGGCGATGCATCCGTATTTCTCGTGAAATTTTTGCTACTCCTTCTTTTGATCCTTTCCGAGGAGAGGAAACTGCTCCAGGGAAAGAAGTGCAGTCAGATGCGGACATAGATAAGTTTGTAAAGTGAGAAATATAGTCAGATTGATTGTTCATTAGATGATTGTTTAGAGAAAAAGCTGCCTCTGCTTATCATCCGTCTTGTACTTGTAAAATGGGCTCATCAAACGACGAGTTTGCTGTGGTAGATCCCAAAACTATGAACGTTCATGGACTCCAGAATTTGAAGGTAATATTTCAGATCATGGTGCTCTCTATATATTTACCAGGTTGTGGACGCAAGTGTGATGCCTTCAATCGTGAGCGGAAATTTGAACATTCCAACTATAATGCTGGCTGAGAAAGCTGCCGATATAATCCAAGGAAAATCAGTCGCAGCTGAACATTTACCTGTATGGAGTAATCAGTAGATCATGAAATAGATTTCTATTCTATGGTATAACATAGACGTGTATGTAACTATATGATCATTGTTATGAGAAGTGTTGTTTCTCTTATGTATATATGTAGAGTTCAAAACAGTTTTTTTATTCAAAGAAAATGTATCTGTTCTAATCCACACTTGGTTCCCTTCCAAATATATCTGAGCATTATCATATCACGCTGTTCATCTGTTTTTTAGGATGGCTCTACCAGTTTTTGATCTTCAAGAAATTCCGGATAATAAGACCGGATGGGGTCCAATAAGCGTACCGGTTGGAGTAGACACATCTGGACCTTTCCAACAGTTCAACAAAGTATGACGGTGGCCATATTTATTCGTAAACAGCTAATTGTAGGCTGATAGAATTGGGCGCGTCGCTGATTGGATTGGTGTAGATCGCTTCTTTAGAAGAGGAAACGATCGTTACAACGAACGTATGTACGGATCTGCTGCCAATGCAGGCTCCCAATTCGATTATGTTCATGGTCTCGATGAGAATAACTTCCAATTGGTGAAAATCATTCCAACAGTCGATATTAATTTGTTCTTCAGGTTGATTCATCCAAGCCAACGCAACGCAGCACTCAACGTAACTTCCGAACTCGCCAAGTTCAATTCAGAAAGTTGTTACAAAGAGAGCAAGAAAAGAGGGAAGCTAACCAAACTCAAAATGCCAAAACAAAGAAGACCATTGCCAAGTGAGATACCCTTTTCTCCGTTGATTAAATTTTTTACCAAGGGAACACCAACGTCAACTCAAGATGTGGCAGAAACGAGGAGGAAATGCTAGAATGAATCAAAGAGGAATTGGAAACCGTTTTACAGGAGAAAGACCTAAGGTATCAGTATATTGTGAAATAGGAATCAACATGTATTTAGGATCGGTTACCTTCTGTACAAGTTAGGCCAGAATGGAAAGTCATTGAAGAAATGGATTTCCCCAGACTATCAAAACTCAGTCTTCCTAACGTTGGAGCTGGCCAAGACATTGATGGGCATCAATATGGATCTCTTCATTTCTACGATACTGTAAGTTAACCGAGAATCATAGCTGTTATACCAGGGACATTTGTACAGAGCATTGACAGAGTCACTGTTAAAAATTCTATTCCACTTCAAAGATGTGGAGGGTCTTTCTACAACGTTACTACAACTGAGGACCCTGTTATTGAACAAATCGCCCAATCGGGTATCGGAAATGTTTATGCCACTGATATTATTTTGGCTACTCTTATGACTGCTTCTCGTTCGGTAGTTATCAATTGGAAATATTATTGAGTTAAGTTCTGTAATAGGTATACTCGTGGGATATTGTCGCTCAAAAGGTTGGAGATAAATTGTTCTTTGACAAGAGAGACACTGGTGGCATTTCCAACCCAGTCGATGCTCTCACCGTTTCGGAAACCAGCAGTGAGCCTCCTGCATGGGAAGGAGCAGGAATTAATAATGCTAAGGTGCCTTATACTTTACTATCTTATACATATGTCTTACTCAGGACCTCGCTACTGAAGCTCTATACATCAACCAGAACTTCCGTCGTCAAGTAACGTTATCATTGTTCGTTTCGAGATGAAATCGCTTGTTCAGGTTTTACGTAGAAATGAAGAAGGTTTCAAGTTAAACAAGGAGCGCGCTCCTTTCGAGGAAGAAGGTGGAGAATCGGGATGTGGATACAAGTATCATCTCATAGTTCTATATGTTTATTATAAACGTGTTCAAGATACCGAAAGTTCACTCTTTCCGGCGGTGCAAACCAGAAGCCGATTGATGTTGTCTGTAGAACAGAATTGGACGGAGCCATGGTTGATCAATACATTTTTATCTTATTCTAATAATGTTGCTAATACAGGTTGGACCTAATGGTACAGTCCAGCATATCACTATCAAAGCCTTCAATGAATGGGATAGTTCCCAATCCGGTGGCGTTGACTGGAGGTTTGTTCGCGTTCCAAATTGTATAATCTTGTGTTGATTTCAGAGCCAAACTTGATGTACAGAAAGGTGCCGTACTCTGTACCGAGATCAAGAACAACACATGCAAACTGGCTAAATGGACCATTCAAGTAACTATTATATTGTGCTTGATACTTCATAATAATTTTAGGCTTTGCTCGCAAACTCTGAGTTTATTAAGTTTGGTTATGTATCTCGTTTCTCTGTTAGAAACAGCGCTCAACACGTTATTTTGGGAACTCAGAGCTACAGACCAGCTGAATTTGCCACAAATATATCTTTGAATATGGATAATGCATGGGGAGTGTTGCGCTGCATCATTGATAGGTATAAGAACTTATTGAGAGATGTATAAAATTTTGATTGCAGCTGTATGCGTCAACCTAATGGAAAATATCTTCTCTTGAAAGACCCTCAATCCCCAGTCGTTCGGCTTTACGCCCTACCAGAACGAACCTTCGATAGTGAGGACGACTCTGATGAAAATGATGGAGAGAACTCAGAAGAGGATTAAACTTATAGACCATAAATCGAAGATTGTTTGTTTTTTTTCTGTTGGATGTTTTGGGACCTTGTTTCGGTATAAAAAATAAACTTATTGTTAAAACAATTGAAGACGCTCAGAATGGTTGAGAACAACTTGAATTTTAATAGTAGGCAAGCGTTTATTTATTTTATCCAGGAGAAGTCTATGCTCATAAAAAAAATAAAATCTCTAAAATTGTATTGTATCCATAGTTAGCAACTAACGCTTGTCGGAAGTTTCTATTACATCTCTCGGTTCAATCTAAAAGTTAGCTGGGGTCGGGGCAGGAGCTGGCTTAGAAGTAACTCCAACAAGTAGGGATTTGATTTCTCCAATAGCTTTGGCGGGATTGAGATGCTGAAATTTCAATGAGAGATTGCTAAATTGAATATGTTCATATAAACCTTAGGACAAGTCTTGCTGCAGTTCATGATTGTGTGGCACTTGAACGCGGAGAAAGAATCGTGCATGCGATGAAGACGCTCGGCGGCATAGTCGTCACGTGAATCAATGATCCATCTCAAAGTTAATTGTGTAACATGACTTACAAAAACAAAATATACCGGTAAGCTTGCATAAGAACAGCTGGTCCCAAGTACTTATCAGCGTTCCACCAATAAGAAGGACAGGATGTGGAGCAACAAGCACACAAGATACATTCGTATAATCCGTCCTAATGATTTTATATATTCAAAATGATAAGGGTAAGATAACTCACAAGTTTATCTCTCTCTTCGATGCTTTGATAAAGTTGTTTCTCTCCCAGATTAATGGAGTCCTTCTTTTGGATCCATGGTTGGATAGAAGCATACTGAGCGTAGAAAAGGTTCATATCGGGAACAAGATCCTGGAATCATTGCAAAATTTAATATACAAAAATAGATTTGAGTGAACCTTAACGACAAACATATGGGGAAGAGGGTAGATCTTGGTACTTTTGCTTGTATCTTCATCAATTTTGCAAATACAAGCTAAAGTGTTCTGTCCTCCAATGTTCATGGAGCAAGAGCCGCAAATTCCTTCACGACAACTTCTTCTGAACGTTAGGGTAGGATCAACTTCATTCTTGATCTTGATCAGAGCATCGAGCACCATTTTTCCACAATTATCAAGATCAATATCGAACTTCTAAAAATTACTCCTTAATAGTTTTTGTTCTTGATGAGTAGCAAACCTGCATTTCTGGCTTTGCTCCTGCCTTCTCAGGATTAAACCGATAGATTTCGAAAGTTTTAATTCTTTTCCCAGCCTTCTTTTCGCCTGCAGCGGCAGAAGAAGCACTTCTGCCGGCGAGGGCAAAAACTTCAGAAGCTCTGACGATGGCCTGAGTACGTGCAAGCATCTGAACAGATATCATTAACAATATCACTTTACAATGACGGAATCAAACTAAAGCTTAAAACTCAAATGATGATGAAAATAGAAAAAAAATGTATTCATTTTTCAGCACGACGGATTGACTGACGAATACTGACAGAAATAAACATAAAATCGCATTAAAGGATACAACACTTCCAAGGAACCAAGTTCTGCCAGAGGATAGCATAGCAAGAACTGCATAGTTGTTTGTATTTTGCAAGCTGTTTACACAGCAGCTTTCATAAGATTTGGCATTTCAGGACGATTATCTAATTGATATAATTTTTCTTCACTTAATGATTTCATCCTCTCATTTTCCTCATTCACACTTACTTGGAATTCCGAATAAGGTTGTTTTTCTAGCTGCAACTCTAATCATAATTTTAACCTACGATATTAACATTGACACAGTCAGCACTCCGCCCATTCAGAAAAATATAGAACCACTGTTGCGGACAATTGTGATTTTTTCCGTAGCTATTTTATATTTTAACTGTTATTAGTTCAAAACTCTAAAATGTTTTACTTCTTCACTTTTATCCAGGTATGATATGTGGAAGCTCATCCTTTTAACAACGTTTGCTTTCTCTCAAGGTGAAGAAGGAGTTCCTTTTAACGACGATCCATGGGACGTCGATGGACCATGTCAAATATATGTAGAAGTATTTCAATGGAGAAATTGTTGCTTCAGATCATAGTTTAGAGATTTGCGAAGGCTCAAGCTGATATGGTGCAATGTGCTTCCAATTGGTCTATTCCACCTAAAGTGTGTACCAATTGTTTTGAGCATTACATTACATTCAAACAGTTGGAGTATGAGACAAAGCACTTAGTATATAATTTACAGTTTCATTCTTTAACGCTTTCATTTTAAGGATAACGTAACATCTCTGGATAACAGAACTTGTTCGCAGGTTATATACGACAACTATCTTCTGTCATACAGCTATGATATTAGTGATGCTCTTACAACAAGGATCTGGGACAATTCGAGATGCGAATGTAATATTGCTATTTCAAATATGTGTACATTATCATATTTAGCATGTCTTCACATAAAATGGAACTTTTCGTATGCTGATAACAACGTTCAATTCTTAAACAGGACACTCGCTTTCCAAAACCGTCTATTTGAATGGAGAGATTGTGTTGTTAATTTCACTGGTTGGGATTATGGTAGGATGAACATGATTTTCGGTCTTGAACTTCCATTCTTCAGGAGAAGAGGACATGCTGAACGTTGGAAACTCTTCTGAAATTTGTGGAGTGTGCAATAAAACATTCAACGACCTCTTTGCATTTTACTGGGGAATATACGTGAAGCCTGGTGTGGATTTTTGTGTCGACATTGAAACTACGGTCTGACTGAAATATAGCTTAAGTTGAACAGTTTGTTTTTTCTAGATGAATGACACTCTACATTTATGGAATGATGTTTGGAAATGCGAGGAGCGCAAGGATCGAAAACGAGACACAGGCCTTGTTCTCTATACAATGATAGTTCTGTTGATACTAACCGTATTGTTCTATGTAGCAAGTTATATCCAAGGCGGTGGAGCTACAAGGAACCTCATAAGATGTAAGTATTGCTTTCGGAATAGTTTAAATGTTTTGCTCTTTAGATTCGAGGCTTGACCCTCCAGTTGGACAACGATCCAGACTGATCTCTACTTCTGCAGCTGACCATGCTTACTTGCCTATAGTAACTGAAAGAAACTCATGAGTTCCGTCGACTGAGATGTTTCAGTAGATGTAAAACAGGTATTTGTTTTTCGGGTAGTTCTTTGCTAGTCTGTGATATGATCATAAAGATATATTATTTATTTCTTCTCTTCGATATACTTGGTTCGAACACCATTTGTTATTGTTTTCTTGTTTACTTTCTCGTTTCCATAAGCTTATTTGCTATCTTCAGAGTTGAAACATGCCATCTCATAACGAGGTAATACATACTACAGATTTTGTTAATTCTTGTTCGTAATTTAGGAACCTTTGGACCCTGAAGCCGATCAGCTTACTCAATTCCGTGAGCGATGTGCTGATCATGTATCGGACCTAAAGGTAATATTGACCATCAACCAGTTCATAGAGTAAATTCAGGCCGTCTTGGACGAGTGCAATGACCGTGTTAACTCCAAGAACGAAACCGAGGAAACTTGTCATCAAGAAATGATGGACTATGTTCATCACTTGGATGAATGTGTAAGCTAAAAACAAGTGTTCCGATTGGTCATTTTTTTTTCAGGCCATGCCTAAGGCGTTCAAGTCTCTGAAGTAAATGGATTAGATTTCTTCTATGTTGTCATAGAGTTTAGAATAAAGGTTTTTTTATGAACTGCTGTGGGATATAAGAAAAGCTTCAAAAATATTTATCTGTTATGTTGGTTCATTCTAGAAAGACTTTAATATATGATACTTCTATTCTCTACCATTTCTTTCGAAATCAGATTCTTGTAGCATGAAAGCTGGCAAATATCTGAATTATAACTTTAGTCTGTCATATATTCAAAACGTCGCGTACTTTTCTTTGCCATCTGGCGTTGAAACTTTTAGTTTTGGGTTCTTAAACGTGTTTTCACGACCTCCCAGTGAGGTGTATCCCATATCATAGAGAATGCAGTAAGGTATGCATAAACCACGCAAAGCCTTCCAAACATCCTGATAACTCCAATATAAGACAGGGCATACTCTTAGAACTGTAGGCCAATCATTATCTGTCCACTGTGTTGGCGATCTTCAATTACAAACTTTCAGTATGCAGTGTTCTTATGCTCACTTCATGTATTTTCCCTTTGGATCTGTTAATCGACTTCCCATGAGAACAGCAGTTATCTTTGGTTTCAAAACTTTCAATCTTTCAAGACCTACTTTTAAAGGACCAGGCAGTTCATGCACAATGATGTTATAGCTGAAAAATAAGGATCACGATAGTTATAACTTTACTGAAATACTTCCTAGCCGCATCTATTATGAATTGAGTAGCTTCTGGAAACTGATCATCACACATAATATGGAACCCTTGTAGTTGTTTTCCAGCTCCATATTTTCTGGAATTGTTAAATGAGTAATGATGAGCAGTGCTTGTAAATACTTGTCGACAGCTAATCGCAGGAAATGAAGTAGGACAGTACAATCTTTACCTCCATTGAACGAGAGTGCGATTTCTTCAAGTCTACAATAATCATTAGAAATTGAAGAATAAACTGTTTTAAGTGTACGAATATTCGTCCAGAATTTTGTCGATGATGTCGGTTGCTTGTCTGATCTTATTACTAAAATCGTCTTCCTGCCTTCGGATGAAAGTTTCCATTTTGATCACTGTGCTGTCCCAGGGAGCTTCATCATAATATACTTGCGCGTCTACAAAGCCAAGCTCATTATTTCGGAAACACTTTCCCGATAATTTTTTTTCAGTATGAATAAATGCAGAAAGTTTCATACCATGCAAGAAGTCTTGAATCTCCTTTATCACATCTTGCCCCAATGCCAATTCATCGCTTTCGATTATGAGCTTAGTTTTATAATACCTGAAAACTTCGTATTGCATGGCTATTGGAAATAACATACTTATTTTTTATCACAGGGTAAGAGCCGATTTCAACAACACCATCATACTTTTCAGCTATCCGATCCAAGGATGAGGAAAATCTATCATATAGACAATTATTTATATGTTAATCCTATCCCTTACTGAAACTCATCTAACGAGGTATAAACAGTCTCACTGAAGCGGGTTGGATACTTTTCAGGAGGGAACAGTTCATTCTGCAATGAAGAAATTTATATTTTCAAAATCTAGAATAATCAACCTTTAAAGAATCAAAAGCTCTTTCGAAGAAAGCAGGAACACCCGGAAATGCAATGACGTTGTGGAACCGAACAATCGGAAACGGCGAGCTCGCGCCTGTTAATGGATGAGAGCCCCAAAGAAGTTTGGAGTTGACCGGTATCTTAATACAACGAAACTGAAACTGTTTAGGTAGAACCAACTTACATTACTGAGCTTCAAAGCGAAACTCTCATTTTTAGCTGATGTGTTATGCATATACTTGCTTACTGCATTTAATATATCGGGAGAAGCCTCCAAATCAGCGTTGAAAGCTTTCGCCAAGCCTATAAAGAGAAAATAAGGGGACAGAACGAGAAGAAACAGGAATGCGATGATTTTGTTTCAAAACATGAACCTTGTGAAATGTGAAATTTCATGATACAGAGATATACAGATGACGTAAAAATTAAAGGTGAAGTACAAAGTAAAACTAGAACCTAGATAGGTTTTGTCGTCATGGGTCGGCCCAACACCACCAGTCGTGAAAACAATCTCAAACTTCTTACTGAATCTCGAAATTTCTTCGCTAATATCTTCGACATCATCGCCGATCACGGAGACCTGTAGAAAGATCAGTATGAATATAGGAATAAGTACTCTAACTCTTTTCAATTGTACGCCAATTTTATGCAGTCTACTTGCAAGAAACCCTGAGTTCGTGTCTATTGTAGATCCTTTTAATATTTCATCGCCTATCACTTAAAGAGGAAAGAAAAAGTTGCTGTTATACTTAACATTTCACAGAACCTATCAGAGCAGCAGTCGTACGTTGTGGCATCACTAGACTGTAAAAATCACGGATCGAAACAATGGACTTCCTTATCATAAAGCAGATGGAATACGTACAAATGAAAATAGTGTGATCCGCTAAAAGAATGAAAGATTACACGATACAATTTCGTTGAAACATGCGTGGATTTGTGAAAAAAAAACTGCTAATACTTCTATATTATTATCCGATAGAAGCTAACTAAGTAAATTCTCAAACAAGCGTACTAGGAGTGCATTTTCATTTCAAGACCAACATTTCTACCGTTTCTTCTTTCTAGTGTATAGCGTTTATTCGAGACCAGAATTCTAAGAATGTTTTTTTTCAATTTGAGAAGCTGTCATAGGGATCTGTAATTGGAAAAGTGAGTTTTGTCGAAAAAATTGTTGCTTCGAAAGAAGTAGAAATTGAAAGTTGCAAAACCGTCTATGTTGATCTACATATCTGAACTTTCACTCATTATTTAGAGTTGTATGATATCCGTCTTTTCCATTTATTCACCGAAAAAAACTTGATAACCTACTGAGCATGTCGTAGTGCATTTCAGAAATGATATGTTCTATATGATACTGAATACTGCCGCATAAATATAACTGATCAGAGCATCTACATCTAGTAATTCAAGACTGTATGACATAAAAAAAATTTTATTTTCAACTTCATGACAACATAATAGAAATTTTATTCATATACAGCAGGGGCCTTGGGCGTTGCAAAGTTTGTCTGTTATCGTTCATTTCGTGGAGAACGTTGTGATGTTGGACTATTTACATGCATGTGATATCGTGAAGACTGCATTATGCCTCAGAATTCTCGCAAACGTTCCAATCTGCGAAACTGTGATAGAATATAGAGTTCCATTTTTCCTTCCTGCAACAAAGCTTGCTATTAACATATTTTAAATAATATCAACCTCTGATTCCCAGTAGTCTTTTCTATGTTTAGTTCCAGTATAGAAGAATAAGAGCTTTCCAGGAGATCTCTGGGGTTTTCCCAGCCTAACTAGATGCATATCTTGATTGTATAGCATATTATCAGTCAAGTTTTGAATACTCTCCATTGCGTGAGTATCAGCCGGCAAACATGCTATAGCTAGAGCTTTTCCAGTACGGATATCTAACAGATACAAGAAATCCTTATATTGATATAAGCCTGTAAAATATAGTAGTACTCCCAATCCAGTAGGGGTTACTCACCTCTGAGAGGAGAGATCAAGAAATGGCAAGCAGCAATTAAGTAGTTTTCGAACCCGCTCAAGTTTAGGAATTTCTTGAGGAATCATTTTATGATGTATAAAGTCAAATAAGCTTACAAAGTCTTTTCCTTCCGATAACTGACTGACTTTTTCGGCGAAAAGTTTATTGCTCTTCTTCGAACTACTGAGATTGAATAGAGGATGAACACTATTGGACGCAAAAACATCAAACTTCCAAACAGTTTCTATCTTTGTTTTCTCAGTGACTTGTCTGAAACACTGAGATTCTGATTTTTCTCGAGAGTAAATGAGATACAGGCAAAACTTGTGGCAAGTTATCCAATTTTCTTTGGCTAGATAGAAGCGATTGTATTCTTCTTCCGGGACATATAATTGATCATACTGATAGAAAGTGTTAGGACACGAATTTGATGAATTCTGTAAGAAATTGTGAGATTAGCAATGAAACAAATACTTACTTGTTTAGCCATGCATAAATCTCGGAAACAAACTGTCTTCACGTGATATGGAAAAGTGATGGAGAGGAAACGATTGCTGATTAATTTCACTTCAGTGTTATAGGAGCTGACTTAAATACCAGATATTGGAAAAATGAAGCGTATAAATTCTTACAATTCAGAGAAAAGAACGGTTCCGCTAGATTGGGTAGAGTGAACTCGACAGGGCTCTCCGAATGAGGGTTGCTCTTCGAGTACTGTTTAATAGGCTGAAAAAATTGATAAACCAGAAGAACGGTATGAAACTAACGTGATCTAACAAATCTTTCAAATAATAGAACTCAGTACGATTACATAAGCTGCATTTCAGAATGTCTTTGTTCAAGGATATGTGGCGAACGTTCTGCATGATCTGAAAAGATATAAATACCTCAGAAAACGCTTTCAAACCTACAGGTACTTTCATTCTATATTTACACTTCAAAGGATAGAAACTATAAATGAGCAAACTGTGTGCATTATCTTCCGTGGTTTCTACAAATATATAAAAATCTTCTCCATAAATATTCCACTCAAGGTCTCTTAAGCAGAATGGTAAGAGTTGTTAAATAAATTTTCTCACCCTTTGAATCTTCCAACAGCTACCGTGTGGCTCACTCTTAAATCACTTTTAGTATCATAACAAATGAGATTTCCGTTTTTCTCTAACGTTACTAAATTATAAAAGGGCTCTCCATCAATAATCTGAACTATGTATTGAACAACATTTTTCGTTTACTTGACAACCTGAACCCTGATAGCATCATCACATCTCAGAACTTTCATTATATTTTCTGGTCTTCGTGTGATGTTCGGAAAAGCAACTTCTTCTGAGCGGTATGCTCCAGGATTAGTTTGTTCCCTCCCTCGCTCACGAGCAGCTTCAACAGACTCATTCAATTGTGAGAAGGCTACACAAGGAAAAGTTCCAAACGGCCGTTCTGGGGGACTGTATAATTCGGATGCAAATATCATTTACTGGTAACAAACTCATTCATAAATATTCTCTTAGATGTGGGCTCAAATCTCAATCGCTTCAGAGATCCAGCGTCCTTAAATTGAATGTTTTCTATCTCCAACTACATATGAACGTACTATAGAGAGGACCTGACGTTGTGTATTTTCGGAGAAATCATTTGTTCCAATTAACCCTAACTCTCGTTTATTGACAAGTTTAGCAATATTACCAAATTGAGAGTAAGTTATCCCAGCAGACTTCACAAGTCGATCACAGAGCTTAACAGTTCATATAGATAAGAAAGATATCAGAGTACGAACGGCTTTATCTTCGCTGTTACTATCAAGATGTAGAGCAAAATCCATCAGACTATCAAGGGTTGAATCAGTTTAATCTATACGATATATACTCGATATTGATAAGGTTATTGTAACCTCGTATTAAAACAAATTGCGTTTGAAGAATTCTTCAGGAACCGGGTTAAATAACAAAAATACATGTAATTTGCGGATTTGATAAGAACAATAATTATACAGCGTATGTCATTTCGACAATATCCCGTGAAATATGTTTTCCTCTCTCATCAGTTACTGCATCTTTTATCTTATTAACAATGCTGACGATACTTCTGGACTTCGCCAACTGAATGAAGAAAAGGTTTGTTTATTTTGATTTCGATCAAACTTACGCTGATAACTTCAGAGTCACCCCACATCAAAGTTACGATCGTTTGTAATAAACGGATGAGCGCCTGTTGAGAATATCCACCGAATGATGGGAATGCCTCCAGAACCTTGATAAGGTGGCGTAGAACATCCTCCCTCGGACCCAACTCCGATACGGTCGCAGACTGTTTCAGCATAGAGAATGACCAGTTAGCGAGTGCAGAAACGGCAGCAATCTGATATTTTTGATGATAATTTTGAAAAAAATCTGTTGCAGATACTTGCAAAGGTTCTCTCTGAGATGTCAATTGAGAAGCCACAATAGGAATGAGTCCTCCAATGTCCTGCTGGAGCAAAAGTTCTCCTTTCGCATGAGCAAAAGCGTTAGCTAATGCTCTACAAATGAATATTTTAACTGCATCAGAAGGATCACTGATCAAGATAGAAGTCAAGCGTTCAAGAATATTACGTCCTCGACCCTGCAAAAAAATTATTTATAAATATAAGTTTGATTTAACTGATAGTTACATTAAGATCACAGAAAAGACTGTTGAGATTTTCGTGGAGGAGAGCAACTCTGAAAAGATCGCAAACGGGAGCGATATCCTCAATAGACCACAATAATGCTGAGATGAAGTACATTATAAAAAAAAGTAGCTGAACTTCAACCTGTGTCCAACGCAGTGGTCAGAGAGGGTTTAATTTCAATGCTTCCTGATTTAGCACCCATCAGTCTCTCCAACTCTCCCATCTAGAAGCCTATTTGTGCAAGAGAGATAAAAATTGTATATACTTGATCTTCGTTCAATCTGTACTGATCTTGCTTATCATTGGTCTCTCTCAGCTTTATAATAGCCTTCTGACTCAATTGTTCAACTCCGAAAGAAAAGAACACAGAAATGGGGACCAATTCTCCCATTGGTTTCTTCTTATCACGTTTCGCCATACTGGCAATGGGCATAGCGCCTTCATTGCTAGATCCAGGAACATACCTGAACAAAAAGATAGCATGAAACGGAAGTGTTGATTAGAAACCAAACCTTCCATCGCTCGTGTAAGGATCTCCTGAGTTTGAAACACTATCAGATGCATCTGATGGAATATATCTCCCACCACCAGTAAAAGGATCCAAAAACGTAGATGAACTCTCTTCACTGTTCGATTGAGGACAATATCTTCCTCCTCCTAAGTAATTAAGATGAATGGAGTTAACCAATAAATGCTAACCCGTGAACGGATCCTCATATCCTTGTCCAGAGGTTTTTCCTTGACCAGTTTTGTCTCGGCGAACAAGACTAGCAATCTATTTGTTCATTGGGAGTGAGAAAAATTTGAAGTTTAAGAACCTGGCCAATGAACTTTATAGGAAGGTTGTACTTCTCACAGAACTTCTGAGCGGTGTAATCTGGATCATCGTCATAGTTGTAGGCTAAAGTTGTCTTCTGTCCAGATTCAAGAGTTATCTCGAGAGCAGAATCGTACTTCTTGAAGGTGAATTGTTAAATTTTAAAATTTTCCATCTCCAACCTCTCCTTCGAACTCTACACGCTGCGTCTCCTGTGGTTTCATTTTTTTCGCTTGAAACTGACGAGCTTCAGGAATATTCGCACAAATATAATCTGTTATTTCCGTCAAGTATGAAATGGGTAAGTTATATTGCTGTAAGAAGGAAGAGTTACTTCCAGGTTTTTTTTTTGAACAAGGTTACCTTCAGGAAGTTCTCTGCAGCTACAACAGGGTCAGTATTCTTTTTATAGTTTAGCTCCATGTTCGCAGCTCCATCATCTAGAGCAACTTTGATTGTGACTACATCAGAAGTAGAACGTTCCTGTCGTTCCATCTGAGCAGCAACACGTGCAGCTAGCTAGAAAAAAAGAAAACAATCAAAGTAAATTGAAAACTTTTCAAAAGTACTTCACTATCAAGCTCTTCGAGAACTTCAGGTTTGGCTCTACGAGCCTCGCTATTAGTGTATACATAGACTCGCCCATCACTAAACATAAGTTCATTATTTTACGAACAATCTAGTTAAAATTACCTTGCAGCAACGGCGAAGTCGCCATTGCTCAAACCCACGGAACTCCATGCTGTTACAGCTGGGGTTCTGATCAGTTGTTTGTGACTCATGCTGAAACAATCATTTAACTTCATAATACATATAACACTCACTTCATAACATTTTCCTTCAATTCGGTCTGCCATACTTCAATTGCTCCACCTTCCCCACAGGAGATAACGAATGGTCCCACCATTGTTAAACTAAGATGGATACAATAGCAACTTTAGCAGTATTGAGCAGGAGTACTGACCTGAAGATGAACTCATCTACCAATGAAGAAAAAACAGCCAAGCAAGACGACGTCTCAATGCTCCAAAGCCGAATTTTTGAGTCGTTCGCAGCCGATATGAATTGAGACTCGTTTACTAACAACAGTGCTCTAACAACATCGGTATGACCTCGAATGTGAAATCCGGGCTGTTATTATTGTTAATTAAATAAGTACCTTGGAATGTCTGAACCGCTTCTTCTCCATTCCACAGCTTAATAGTTTTATCAGCACTAGCAGTCAAACAACATCCTGATTCATCCGGCAAGGTGCACAGAGCCCAAATAGATAGTGTATGTCCTTTCAGAACATATCGCTGAAAAAAATAGGTATGCAGAAACTACAACCAATAACTCACCACAGCTTCATCACTTCCTAAGAAAGGTATCGACCAAATAACTACGTTATTGTCCCATGATCCACTGAGTAATGTTTTCTTCTTTTGATCAACATACAGACAAGAAACTTGAATGAAAGCTTTAAAGCCGGAAAACTAATCCTTTCCTACCGTTGGCAGTATGGTATGATAGAACGTGAAGTGGATCTTTGCTTCCTGAGCCGTAAACAGCAACTAAACCATCTCTTCGACCAACGAAAAGCTTCCAATCACCATCAGCTTCATAATATGCAACGGAGGTGACAACACTTGGCTGAGAATATGAGATCGTTTCATTGTATTCTCCACCTCTGACATAACATTATTATTAACAATAGCGTTATTCATAAATGATTACTTCTTGCTCCAGAACTTCACAGTGTTATCTCGTCCTCCTGAGATCAAAACATTCGAAGCGTTAACTGTTAAGCATCTAACATCGCTTTTATGAGCCCTTATAACTCTGCTTAACTCGAAAGGAGGTGGTGATGCGTCTACTTCCATATCCTCCATTTCTGAAAAAAACAATCATTTAAAAATTTTGAGAGGGTTCAATTTAAATCAAATTAGTTGGAAAAGATTTTAAACTGTAACTGTTTTGCTCGTTTCAATGAGAAAAACACAAATTGGAATATATCACCATTGGACGCAAACTGACGTGAGTTACCCATTTAACTTAAACATTCGAATAGTAAAGCTTATCCGCCAATTCTCATTTTTCAATATTCTGCTAACAAATCTACTGTGATTATATTGTTATCGTCAAACTTGTTGAAAAATTAAGTTTGCATATAGAACGTTTTAGTTTTCCTGAACGTTTTTAGCCTGGTGATCGCCTTCTTTATTTGTTTTTCGATTCAACGCTTTTTTAAAGAGTTATTTGTATCTCATGATTCATTTTTTCATACAATTAATAAATAAGGTAGTAAAACGGAATTCCTCTCGTGAGTTCATTGTTAAGCTGATGAGATAATAAACACAAGACTTGTTCACCACTCGAGGAAACAACTTCGGTTTGGAATACATATGAGTGAAAACTGGGATTGAGAAATCAAAAATCCTATATACAATAAAAGTCGGTTCGAGAATATTAATTGATGATAATATTCACATGCTGATCTAAAAACGTTCATTGTCCATGTGCTCAACTTCCGACATCGAGTAATTTTCCTGATGAGCTTGACGAACTTTATGGGTATCATTTTCCATGGGAGGTACTGCTATAATTTCCTGTAATAATTAATCAGGTCAAGAGTTAGCGAAACATGACAAACTCGGAACTCTTCATTGGAGTATTTGTTATCTGGATTCTCTCTTGTCAGCTCAAAATCTTCGGCACAACAGAGGAAAAGAGAATCAATGGTCATTTCATATACGGAAAAGAAGCAGTTAGCAATCAAATAAGAGCAGATAAATATCAACAGAATGGGAAACCATGGATGTGAGAGTGTCGACATTTCCTGTGAATACAAGTTTAACCAGAGCAATTCTAACACCAAACCATAGTGAATATAGCCAAGGCTGAAGTGCCAGCAGCTACCATACACTTGGCAAGAAAGAGTACAGCTCCTCCAACCGAATTGATCGTAGCTACATCGATTGCGTTGTCGAAAAGAATATTAACTGCCTAAAACAGAATGACATTCCAAATGATTTGAAGACAAACACAATTCCTACCACTTTGGCTGCAGGACAGAAGCTCATTCCACTGTAAGCGATTACGGTAAACGCATTATAATTGATATAATCAAGACATCTCTCTATGCAAGCCAATAAAAAAATACAACAGGCCAAAAGACGCCTCAAAACCAGGTTCTCCACATTTCTCATCCTGAACAGCTTATAGAGTTTCTTAAAATAAAAAAACATACTTAGCATATATCCACATAAGTATGTAGCGCGGAATGCGCACAATGGTGATAATAAATGATCCAACGGCAGCGGATCCCAAATGATATCGGAACAGATTCCACAACGACGAACAAACGATGGTTCTATTTTCCCCTGGCTGGTTTCTTTTACTTAAACTCAGCTCAAAAATGTGATGTATGTGAAGCCGAACCTGTTGAAATACCACATGCTAACAGCACCCGCTATAAATAACCGTTGGCAGGCTAATACAAACTCGCACAACCAGATGAAGCCTACTGCTTGGTATAAAATCATTGCTCTTGAATTATTTTCCGTTATTATATACCATCGAAAATTTCTAACCTAGTCGTCTCTGTCATATTGTTTTCTATTATAGTTATATTAGCACCGTGTCCATCATCGACAACACGACTGACTAGAGCACCTACAATACAACTGTCAGGCAAGCCTATAATATCAGCAAACCTGATGTTAGTAGTACTAGAATCACACTTAAGGAATATAACGCAACTGTTAGAACCGCGAAAGCAGAAACTATTGGTTGGAAAAGCAAGCAAGGCATTGCCCAAAGAGCCTGACTTATAAAATTTATAAAAATTTCAAAACTGTGAACGAACCTTTGATGCTTTCTTGAATAGAACAACCATTTTCTGGCCTCTTGGAAGTAAACACCATACTGTCATGACTATGAAACCCTTCAGAAACGGTGAGATGTGTGAAAAAATCGAAAATTACCGTTATCACAGTACTCCCTATTGAAAGACCAAGAACAGTCAGCCGACTGTCATAATCGAATTTGAACAAATCTTTGAAATTAGAAGCGTTCCCTCTGAAGAGAACACCCAATTGTACCTAGAAAGAAAGCTATTAAACAAAAAAAAAAATAGAATTGAAACCTCAGGACTAGGTGTAGAAGATAGATCTATAGTTGATTCAGCAATAGGAGAGCTGTGATATGTCAAATAAGTAGAATACCAGAGCGCACTTGTGATTCCTAAAAAGCAAATTACCTCTCACAATTAGAAATGATTACCTGTAAATATGAATAGAACAGAAAGATAGACAAAATAAATCACAATGCTAGCCACGCATCTTAGTATGTACACCATTATAAACGAAAACGCTAAAACTAAAAGATCTGGAAAAAGAAGTTTCATCACTTACCGAAAGCAACTCCACACATTTTGAAAACTAAGTGAGAAGATATCAAAGCATCCGAAAGATATCCTCTAACAAAATCCAACTCAATGAACTATGAAACATATGATAATCAATAGCTTAGCTGAACAAACCTTGTTGATTAGATCTTCACTAATGGTGAGAATGTCTTCCGGAATACAACGGTTGAGTATACTCACACTGAAGTACGGGAATAGAATCTAAGAAAAAGCTAGAATCACCTCTTGGTCACGGGGAGCTTCGGACATACATCTCCGTTCAAAAGGTCAATCGTTCCATTAAAAACATGAGGCACACATAAAGGATTGTCGTTATTCTGAGCAACAGCTCGTAAAGCTGTAATTTATAGTGAGTTATATTGAAGAGAAAAACAAGAACCTTGTCTGTTAAGAATCAACGATTTAGGACATTCCCGAGCGCAGACCCACATAGTGTCTAACGGTCTTGTTATATTGAGAGGAAACATGAACCTTTAAAAAAAGAATGACTTCTCCATGATTCTGAATACTGAACTCACTTCCTTTTTCTCATATCTCGTCCTGATAATGGGAAAACGGCGGCCTCATCACTTTCATTTCCTATCAAGTATACCGGCTTGTTGAGTCTTCCACATGTATTGCCGAAACTATCGGAGCCATAGACAATTCTATACGGATCCCCATGTTCGAACGCATACCAAGTAGTTGTGCCCTAAAGATTTGAGAAAAGAAAATAGACCAAAGAATGAAATTATAACTAATCCACAGCAAAAAAGAAAAAAAAAGAAAAGGAAATAACTGTCAGTACAAGTTCGATAACCTTTCTGAAAATATGAAATATTAGACACAAAACAAGAGAAACACAAACATTTAGAACAATATCTTGGTAAGTTGTATCGCCTGTGGAACAACAACAACGGAATAAGCAACAGCACATTATTGAAATTATATTAATCCGTTAACTGAAATATTTAAGATCTTGAATATCTAAAACTGTCAGTTTATCGAATTCGCGACAAATTACGTATTTGAACGAAAAAATTGCACATCTACACTGCTTCCCTACAATGCTTTCGTTATCTCGAGTGTTTATGAAAAAAATTGTTGCAACCCTAATGCATTACTCTAGCCATCACATATCTTAATCATCAGTGAAAAATCACTTTAAACTAAGTATGCTTTCACTTTGGAAATTTTCAAAGATAAATGTAATCCCGAACCGGTTGTACATATACATGCTGAGCATTGAGACTATTTGAAATCGCATCACCCAGCTAGTAATAGCAATAGAACTCTAGATTTCCGGCGGTGTCAGGAACTTCACTATCCCACTGTCAACAACTGATTCAAGCTTCTTGTATCGACCTTTATTTTTTCTCTTCTAATCACTATATATTTATAAAAGATAATTTATGAAAGTAATTTCAGACTAATTCTGCAATGAATGATAATACTTCATATTTAGATGATTTTTTCCATGAAATCGAACAAGACACTGGTGTAAAAATCAATTAACACAGTATATTATTTTCGAACAATTGTCTGGTGTATTACCTCCAATAAAACAATATAATTCTACGAAAAGGATGAGAATCAATCCAGAAGCCTACCGTTTACAACAATGTAAGAAAAACACTGACTCAACTCAAGCAGCCAATGTCATGGAACACGGCTAAATCTGAAACCTGGCGCTAATTTCAAACTGATATTTAGCATATTCTGTAACTGAATCCTAATTAGATAATTCTAATTAATTTTTTACTCCTTGCCCTTCGATTCATGATAATCAAACCACGCTAGTTTATAAAAAAGGTACTTCAAGATGAATTTTATCCACCTCATGTTCATTCTCAGGATTTTTGAATTTATTTTTGTTTTCCAGTTTCTTCATCTCTTACTCTTACTATGGGTTGAAATACTCCTTACTGAGAAATAGGTTTGGGCCCATCTTGACGACAGTCACAAGAATGTGATAGTCAACACGCCAGAATCATCTTGGCTCACAAGTTTTCGCTCTGTTCCTGAGATTTTTTTTGTGTTATCATAGTGGAGTTTTCATAGTAGAAATGAAAATGTTTATTGTGCAGGAATGAGAAAAGATTAATATGTTCAATCAGAAGTACCCATAATTTTTGAAGATTTCATACATGCGTATCACGGTGGATTGAGTTCAAATGTTTCATCCACCATGACGTTCTCGACTCAAGTAATACCACCAGTAGAAAACTACAATATAAATCGTTTAGTAGATTATTCTATGATGTGTAACCCACCGTTGAAAGCTGCAAACATGGCTGGGAATGCTTTAGCAGCTAGAGCGTCAACTCGAGCGCCCATGTCCTCATTTGAAGCTCTGCCTAGATGTGGTCCAGAATTATAACCATTGCTGTATCCATTGTCTCCACTATAAATAATCAATTTGTTTTTGTTGTTAGGGGGAAAGATAGCTAGACGAAAACATTTTTTGAATCATCAATAAGATTAACAGAAAGAAAAATTTTCACATACTTCATATAGAACTCATCCTCGTTATTATTCATGTTGTAACGGACAGATGATGAGTTCCGTGATTGCCTTAAAAGATGCGATTTATGAATGTAATATGCTTGAAAGAAAAATACTTTTTAAGAATTGCTAAGTGAGCTCTCTGAGCTCGTACTCTCTTTGCTCTTCGTTTGATTTCAGTAATTTTATCTACAAATCCAACAACAGCAAGTTCTACTAATGAAAAGAAGATGAAAGCGACACAAACGAAGAACCATAGGTCAATAGCCTGTAAGCATTGTATTTGATAACGCAATACTCTGTATTATACCTTAACAAATGACACCCGAGGTAGATTTTTTACAATATTACCAAACTGGAAGGTAAGAGCCATAAGAGATGAGACGCCCAGTGTGATGCGAGCAGGTAAGGCTCTTGTATCTATCCAAAACGCTATCCATGATATGAAAACTGATAAATATGTCGGTAAATACATTTGTAGTACATAATATCCGTATAATCGTTTAAACCTGAAAAGACTTTCTGTTACTCTTGCTCTCTGTCGTTGTTCACTTTACCTAAAGGTTACTTTTAACTGATCCCACATTCCAGCTGTATATTCATTAACAGTTTTCCCCCATGTCACGTTATAAAATTGGAAATCGGGAAGTCGAAAGTCATCAGGATGAGGCATGGTCACAGGAGCCCATTCCTGCCAATTTAATCGAACCTTAAACAACAAAACTAATTTGCATAGAAGAAAATGATCAATACCTCAGCAATGTTATAAGAATAGGATTCGAAAACAAGCGTACATTCTTGAGCATCTATAGGAAACCGAGATAACTCGAAGCTACAAGGAGCAGACACTTGAACTCGATAGTTCAGCCAAACTGTCCCTATAAATGTAGTTATTACTTCTATATTTTATAAATAAAAATATATGCATCCTAGTCGACTCGCTATTCACACGCTTATTGAAAATAAAATGAAAATTTATAGCCTTTACTCACCGTTTGGATAAATTATGAGAAGTATGTTAGAAGCAGGAGAACGGTGCACTTGAGTGCTTTTACTGTTCACAAAGCAGACGTTTGGCGTCCATAATCTCTCACTGACGTAGCTGTCCAATGAAAGGTTTGACTTACACGATATATTCCTGTAAAATGTCATTTAGAAACATAGTTGCTCACATAATAGATTTTGATGAGAGTTTACAAGTGAAGTTAATTTTCTCACGTAAAACCCACGTGAGACGGGCTAGTTCATTTCAGTTAATGATGAATGTAAGCGAACACGAGATGCTTGTGCGTAAGCTGATGATTCGATGGAAAAAGGAATTCGTTTTCAATTTTTTTTGTTTCTTCCTGGAGTTGCATTTACTCTTGTTCTCCTTAGAAATTTTTCTTCCTACTTTAGGTCATTGTGGTGAAATAATAGCTATACTCGCAGAGAGAAAGTGAGTTCGATATAAACGTGAAAATGGATTCGGGTATCGCGATGAAGTCTATGAAGGTATCATTTCTGAACGTGACCGAAACGTGTATGCTTCGAAATAAATTGAAAAATATTATGATGAACTTGATTGTTGTGAAAAGGTGAGAAGCTGTTTTGATAGAAACGTTTCTAGTCAGTACATGAAATGTATTTTTTTCGATTTAACTCCAATTCGATCATAATAGTCGTAGATTAGGATTCGAGAAAATATTGAAAAAATGTTTACCAATATTCTAATCGTGGATCTTCCCACACCTGACTAAACCATACATCTGCTATGAAAGAGCTTGATATTTCGGATATTGATGAAATATCCTAAATTATAGATGTTTATCTCTTTAAGAAGATAAATACAGTACTTGAACTGTTAATTCCACATTAACATTCACAGAGTTGTTTGATGGCACAACAGTCTTATCGTAATCCTGAAGGAGATCCTGCAAACAGATGTTTATAAGAATAGAATGAAAACGCATCATGTTAAATTTTTATATCTCTATCACTTCCTGGTCGTTTTCTAGCAAATGGTTTGGATTTGTCCTCTATACTGTTAGTTTTTTGAAAAATCTCTTTAATCGATAATACAAAGGTAGATCAGGATTGAAATTGATGGGCGAAAATATGATTTTGAAGTTTCGTTGATTTCTCTTTGGTCATCTGTTTTCTTCCTAGCAAACAAATGTTTGAGTGAAAAAAAAAGAAAAAAGAGAAAAAGTGTTACCCTCAAAATACTTTTCCTTTGATTAGAATTGTATTCGCAAGGCGGAGGTTCTGTTGAAATAACCGTATGTCCAGTAATAACTAGCATAAACAGAAGGTCGTGCAGCATGACATCTACTGAAACAACGAATCAGATGAGAAGATCTTGTCAGGAAAAAAAGTTTTTTTATTTATTATTCATAGAGAATGAGAAGATTCTATTTAAGGATGAAAACGAAATACATTTTGCAAGCTTGAAAAATAAATGAAAATAGTAGACGACGAAGCAAAAAGAAGCATTTTGTAGATAAAAACGATCAACTTTGTTAAGTTCTTTTATAAATATTCCTTTTTATATACATACACGGCTTGGTAAAAAAACCTGCTCGCTCAGAAGAAAGGTTTCTATAGTTTCGTGGCTTCTTTAAGGATTTTGGAAGACGTAAGACGAGAAAGTCTCCGGTTGCTGTGGGATGTTGTTTGGGTCCTTTGCATCAAATCATTGACGACGATAATATTTAACGGAAGATTCAGATGCAAAAAATGTGAGAAATAACATAACACTGACATCACTAGAGACTTTCGAGGACTTTGGTCACTATACATATAAGTAATGCTATCATCACCTACGCACACCTTCGGCAACCTTCTGCACTTGTCATCGTAGAGAAGCCTGTTCATGTTCAATGAAACTTACAATTATTGTCAAAAAGTGAAAACATCATAATTCTTGATTGAGATGTGAGAAATTAAAAATCTCATGAGTTTGATCAGTTTTGAAGCTTCTGATAACGACAGATAATCCAAAGATCAAGAATGAAACTGCTCGAGCAAGATGTATGTGTGTGTGTGGATGTGTTAAAAAATATTAGAAAGAAGAATGTGATGGCAAAAAAAGGAGGAAAATTAAAAGTCATCAGACGGATTTAAAATGAAATATTGGACATGCACATTAGTTGTTCATAGGACGACATACGAATGTTCAAACATCATCAACAAGTTCGGAGCATATAATAGGGAAATGAGGACTGAATGCTGACCCGAAAAGCTGCCGGAGATCTCGTTTTTCGCAGAAAAACTTTTCAATCATATCCAATTATAGAAGAAAAACGAAGTAATTTGTCTCTTTTTCTGAATGAATGTCCTTAGACCTTTGAGTTCAAATGAGAGATAGGAAAAAAAGATTTTAATGCTCTCTGTGAGAACCTAAAAAGAGCATGGCGTCGTAATGGAGTGAGAGGTTCAGATTGAACTTCTCTTTTTCTTCCGTAATGGAAGGGGATTTCCTTTCTGAATTAATTTTAGGAAATATTGGTGAGAAGTAGGCGTATAATTCTCTGTTGTTTCAATTGCTAGTTAGAGTCAATGAAAAGTGGTTTTGATGAGCTGTAAGTCCGACGGGAAAACATGAAAATCCAAATGAGCTTACTTTCGAATGATCAGACATTTAGAATATGAAGAATGATAAACAAATGAACAAACAATGTTCAGAAATCATATTTCCGGTTATTAACAACATATGTTGTTAACACGACTTTCGTTGGCCCTTGTGAGAAAATTGGAAAAGAGCCAAAAATGACTCCTGCGCGATCTCTTTACTTCCGAGTAAAAATCTGTTTTTCGATCGATTTTGAGGAAAAAGAGAAAAAAAGAAAACAAATCTTATTGAGCAGAGATGGCCGATTACAAAAGATTATTTAAAGTATTTAGAATTATTTCGTGGATTTTTGAAACTTTCTTTCTGGCTATGAGGAATACTACCACTAACGTTATAACTCGGAAGAATCGAAAATTTAGAAAGGTTTTACTACGACTCACAGTTGAACTTCTCATCTTCTTCTTCGCAAATAACAAGCTTATATGAATGATTGACGATTACTTAGAAGAAGATACTATCAGAGAAAAAAAAGTAAAAAAAAAAAGCGTAGAGTGAGACAGTGAGAGAAGCAAAGCAAGAATGGGTGGTAGAAGGAGATTTAAATTCTTCGTCTAGTCAGCCTTTCTATATATAATCACCATGAAGTTCAAAGATAATGATATATGTATCGAACAGAGTGAAGAAAACAATTGAATTCGGTCAATCGAGGACAGGCTTCCAATCCCGAGGTGCGTCCGATGAAGAACAAAACGTTCTCGGCTACAACGATGTTTATTGAATTTCAAAATCTCCTTAAAATGCCTTCGTTTATTGCTTTTCCCTGCGAGAACATCTTCTCAGTGAATACAAAGAGAAATTAAAACTACAACCTCCAATTACAAGTGTGTTATACTCAGATTTCTCTCGTTCCACTTCACATTTGATACTTAATTGATGTGAATTCGAAAAGTACTGTATCGGCAATCCTATTTGATGTTTGATGAGAGCCTAATAAGAGGTTCGACATGGAAGCAGTTCAAAAAATGCATTCAAATAAGGAAAAGTAATTAAAAATTCTTCTTCGGTCTCGAAAAAGTTGGATTCAGAACATTCGTCGCTTGGCTGACATGAGCTACCATATTTCATTTTGAGCAGATAAGGCAGTATGAGCGGTTGCTATTACCTTCTTTCCTCAAAAAAAGGGATGTTGGACTCATTAGTCTAGCAACTCAGGAGTTTTGTTCAGAAATTATATAAATGTTCAAATACATTTTAATGAAATCTGTCGTTAGCAGTTGAGTGCTATATGAAGATGAGCCGAAGCTTGTCAGTGAACCTTTGAGTATTGAAAGTAAAAGAGTATTAACCCATGTATATACTAGAGAAACGCGATGAGATTGTAAGAGAATAGAGAACTGATATACTCAGTTGATGGTGGAAATAAGGAAAAAGAGATGCGAGGAAAGAAAGAAAGATGGTGGGTGTGGAAAAACCTCTAAATTTCTCTTATCTTGTTCTTGAGCTCCTCTATTTCATTTAAATAAATGGTTTGTCTGACTAAATTTCAATGTGAGTTTAACAGATTGGTTAACTAATTATATGTTGAGGGAATGAAACAAAAAAGTGTCATGAAGGCTTTTATTTTTTTTGCAAACGAAATTTTCGCAGCAATGAGTTAAAGACAGGTTAAAGCACTTGAGAGAAGCATAATATTCTGTGAAGTAAGAGTGATTGAGGAAGATAGACAGAGGGCGAAAGAAAAAGGTGAAGAGAGAGAGAGAGAGAGAGAGAGATCTCTTAGATGGCCCCTTGAATATATTTTAGAAGAAGAGAAAGAGAGAGATTAACATAGTTTTCCTTTTTCTCTCTCTCTCTCTCTCTATAAATCAAAAAGAAAAAGTTGATTGATCTGCCGGCTAACATAAATTGCAGAATTTAATAAAAGTCTAATGAATTTATTGGAGAAAAAACAAGTAATAAAAAAAAGAGAACGCTTCAGAAGCTTGATAATTGGAAAAAGGGAAATAAAAAGAAAAATAGTTGTAGAAGATATTATAAATATTTCGCTATTCTACCTGAATGCATAGTGTTGTGATCATCGAACTTTACAAGCCTTTTTGAGTATTTGCGGGCCACCAGAAACTATTTGGAATTTAGAAATTGTGTGATAAAATGACTGAAAAGGTCATTTTGATGACTGATAGTCACTTAGAGCTTCATCAGTCAGCCAACGACGAGATCGCGAAAAATTAATCAAATTCAGAAATCGTGGACGATCAAAGATGAACTCAGAAAGTTCATTTTGCCATCAGATGTCTCATGGGGTGGATTTCAGCTGATAGATTGTTTTTATTTTCTTTTTCTGTTTTGTTTGGTTTTCGATCTTTTTAATCGAAGCTTTCACATCATATCCAACTAAGGAAGGTAAGGACAATAAAGAAAGACAAATGAGCCGAGAGAGGGAGGGAGTGAGAGAATAAAAAACTGCACACACCCAGAGATCTCCATAACTTTCTCATAAGATCCTTCTTGTTTTCTTTGTTGAGTATCTGCTCAGGTTACTTCCGATTAGAAGGAAATAAGAAATATTCTACAAGGAAGAAGATGTCTTCATTTCAACCGAAACCAACAAATCGACAGTGTGCCAAAGGAATATTTCCGATTAAAGGATGTAATAAGATACGTCATCATAATACAAACTTATTTTCAAGATATACAATATTTCTTTTCATTACATCTAAGGAATAAAGTCGATTGAAGTATAGAGAGAGAGAAAGTAGAGAGAAAGAAAGATTGAAACCGTTTCTTTCTTTTTTTTCTGCCCTGGAATGTCCAAGGTTCATTAGTTTCACTCTGTTGCGCAAATGAAGCGATGGGCTTCTTTCACTATCTCAAAGAGTTGATGAGAAGAAAAGATGTCCAGATATGGACTTACTGAGTGCTTTTAGCACGTGTTGGAGGGATTGTTGCCTTTAACGGAACTGCATATGACGCGAAAATGACAAAAAATAATGAATTTGAAAATTTATATTATGAAATGAAACTCAAATAAGTTCAAATGAAAAAATTTGTTTTATAAATTTTATATCCTAAGAGCACAGAGATCTTACTGATAGTCATGTGCCGCCAGGGCTCGTTTGTTTTTTTTGAGCTTTTTCTTCAGTAATAAGCGGATTATGAAAGAAGAAAAAATTGAAATAGCTGTTTCGATTTCCACTTCTTCGCCAAGTTGAAGAAAATCCTTTGGAAAAGAGTTTAAAAGTGAAAAGGAAGTACTTTGGTTGAAATGAAACAAAATCAATCAAAAGGATTCCATTTGTTGTGAAGAAACAAAAAAAAACTAATTTTCAGTCTGATTGTTTTAGATCAAATTTGGGATGGAAGACACAAAAAGGTAGATCAATCAACTTTCAAACAGTTGATAGGAGGTGGAGAGAAGAACAGAAAATCTTTTTGAATTAACGCTCACGTACTTTGAACATGGTGAGCGAAAACATAATTTTAAGACAAAATGACAAGACTGAATTATAAGAGTTTCTTTAAATAGTTTGTCAGAGCATAAAAGGAGAAAAAACATTGAGTCACCACCCTTCGGGACGCTCATTTAGGAGAAAAGCACAACTTTACATTCAATTCCTTTGCTTTACATTACTTCATCCTCTCTTCTTATACACACATAAACAACTTTGACAAATCTTCACGTGTACCACGTGAACATTCTCATTTCATTTCATTTTGTGTTGACATGGAGAGCGGTTGTATTTTTTTTTATT